TTTGATACCCTGGATCATCAAACCTGGGCGTGCCTCGAAGCTCCGTACCGGGAACCTCACAACCTAGCTTATTCAAAAGGATCTAGTACCTTTTATATGCTGTCGTTCAACAGTTAGTGTGCGACTGCAGAAACTGCAGGTTTCCGGACCGCGTGCTCGATCGAATAACATATGCCTCACCAGAATTTTCTCTTCACTTTCTAATGCAACTATATTGAAGTGAAATCGAATTCTCCTGTACATATCCCTTTCCAAGCAATGTCTATGCAATGCATCCATTGGGTGATCCAGTAATTCTCTAAATAGCCCTTGCGGAAATAAACACACCACGTTTTGTGCGTGCGATGATTTGTTAACCCTAAAGATACTTTAGTGTCACACCTGCAGGCGACAAAATTACCATTGGGATTTGTATGATCGTGTGGGTATTAATAGGAGACTCTAGGAAGTCCAGACCGAGTTTGTTTTATGCTATTCTAGAACCTTGTAAGTAGTGTTTCGTCGGATGCCCAAACCGATGTGAGGAGTGATCACGTAACACTAGTGTCCAAATTAAAAACCCAGCAACAATTTATGCGTTGGAAGCAATATGATGTTGCCATCGTTACGGGTGAAACACACGTGTGTGTCATTTATTTCGCCAATGCTCTGTGTATATTCCCCGTTTTAGCAAAGGCCAAAAATACTCAATGTGTCTGTGAGTATAGGGTGAAAATGAGGCTATTGTTCCTATAGACAGAACATTTGTGATGACCAAGTGTGCTGAAATCTGCAGAGTTTGTGACAGTGTTCCTCATTAGTAACAGGCATTATCGGCGATTGTCAGAAATGCAACTATTTTGGTGGTAGTGCCTACCGGAAGTACATCAGGAAGCCAAGTCCACCAGCGTTAGAGAGGTCGAAGTGAGTGTTGTACTGTTCTGGTGTGTTGTTCTCCCAAACTCTTTCTAGACCGAGGGAGTCGATTTGTTCACTCGAAAAGTAAAGCTGTATTTGGACCTGGGTCATCATCGTTGCGTTTGTACTGCCTTGAAATGTCTTTCCTACATTCTGACGGTTTGAATAGTATCAATATCAAATGGACAAAGCGGTTCCCCGTGTGTCCATTCCGAAAGCTGGACACATTTAACATTGAGTCGGCTTGTAATATGGTGTTACAAGTTCCTCGTTCCATCGGTTGAGCTAATGCGAAAGGATTGGTTTTTTATCGAAAACAAATCGTCCAGCGTACACATCAGTATTACACGATAGTTGCTTTGTACTATCAAGACCACATCAGTTCCACAGCACCTCGAACTGGATTTCTGTCACCTCATACCATGGAGTCTATAGGGTCTTTAGACTGCTGTTCAGGCTTATATAGCTAAGCCCTTCCCGATACCATCTCTCTCCTTCGTATCATAAAACTTTATTCAAATAAATTGACGTAGTTGTAATGCAGTGAGACATCCATGTTCACCTCTGATGTTGTAGTCAATGATGATGAATTTTAGATGACTTAAGTAGAATTTCGTGATTACATCTCTGTTGGGAAGAAACAGTTCGACTGTTGTAACTGTTAATCTACCGCTCCCTGACACAAGGTGTAAGACGACACATGTGTCTGAGACGTTGTGTTGGAGAATATGATCAAGGGCACGAAACAAAATAAAAAACGCTGGGGGGAGGTGAGACGAGGTGAATGAACACACAGAGAGGGGGACAGAGAAAAGACGTGTGCGCCTGGGTGGACGTGAGGGTTACCACCTGTCATCTGTCATTCCATAGAATGCAACTCATTGATGGTATGGTCTATTGGCTGGACGCACAATGGATCGATGTCTTGTCCGTCTGGAACTTCCATTCTTGCAAGCCAGAGTACGATTGTCTCCGTCATCCCCTTCTACGCTTTGGTGGATACATTTCATCCAACAGGACATAAAGTGACAGATGTCATCAATAGACGCATTCATGTAACATGATGTATTTCACATGACGTTATGGTTCATTGCTTTTAATCTGACCTTCATATATTACATTTCTAAGGTAGCCAGTGGTGACAACTAGGACCTCTCATAGTTTATAACCATAGAAAAATAGGTGCTTGTATTGGAAAAATCTGGCATGAAAAACGCGAGGGCTCGCTTGGTGATGTTGATTGAAACGATCCTTTACATTTCCGTTGCGCTGCCCTCTCGGTGAACTAGGAAAAACGATATCCACTTTTGATCTTGTGTTGCAGAGTAGAAGCAAGTCTAGTGGTCAGCATTGGTCCGGAGCAGTCATATGTAGTGTTGGGCGATAAGTGTGTGGACGTATCTAAAATCTCACTAATTTTCCCTTAACCTTTGGGCCTCTATAGGGGCGGCTTAAATGCATGGACAAACCGTTCTACCTGATTGCTTAAATGAGATCAGTGGAACGGACTTTAACAAAGCAATTGCAATGGGTTAACTTGTGCCAAATCGGCATAGCTCCGACTACTTTGATTAAGCATCGTCAGTCACAGAGTAGCTGATGCAATAGGAAAAACTCCGAGAAATCAATGTTTACGGAACCATGGGTTCTGTGAAGTTGAGTGGCATTGCAGCTCATATTTGAGGGAAAGCTTCAAGGGCGAATATGGTGTCCTTTATCTCTCTCTCTGTCTCTTGGCCCATGCACGATCAGTGTGCGTATTACGGTCAGTGAACTTTGTGCAGCTGCATGTTTGCCGTGTAACTATTTTGGATATTCGCTCTGCAGTTCTTTTGGGATCATGTAACAATTAACATCAAATCATGGCAAATTATTGTTTGTCGCCACTAGAATAGTTCAGTTCACAATGTATGAGAGCCGTTTACGAGACCGAAAACATGAAGCGGTGCAGCTTTGGGTTCCGCCTTGACTGCTTCTTTTTGTGAGCATTTGGAAACAAGACGTTCCAAGATGATAGGAATAATCGGTATTCGAGAGGTTTCACCGTTCCCACCACAGGGCTACTTGTGTCACTCCTGTCGTAACATGACTACCGGTTTTCCTTACATTGTGACACATCTTCAGCACGTGCGACGTGGACATCGAGCAAGACCTGACAGGGTGTAAAATGACCAAATATCTAAATTGCGTCGAGTACCAAAGCAGGGCAGTTTTCCTCGACTTTGAGGGGGCCTTCTATTCTGTGTATAGAGTGGCTCTTCTGAACACTCTGCCAGAAATGCATGCCCGTGAGATCCGTTAACATTTTCGTGTCCTGTATTCTCACGCATCCGGTCGGGTTGCGGTGTACATTGAACTGTCCAGAACCGTTCCGAAAATTAGTGGAGTCTGTTTGGACTGTCCAGTCCCTCCTTTTTTGCTCAATATTGCTACCGACTTTGTAAATGTATCAAGATCACATCTGGAGAAAGTAATCCACTTGTACTATGCTAATGACAGCGTTTTGTCTCTTGTCCGAGCAGTATACTCCAAACAGGAAATCGCAAGTGGTTCAATGTTTCTGCATACGCTTCGCACGTCCAGGGTTCAAGTTACTCCAAGATCTTCCTCCCTTCATGTCTCCGAAACTTCAGAGTGGAGAAACTGATTTTGTTGATTGGTTCACGTATCTTTGCAGTTATATAAGCCCTGATTTAATTATAAGAGATGAAGTCAATGCCCCGGTGCTCAAGGACCAAGCAGCATTCGTCAACTCACGTCAGTCGGAAACGAATTAAGCTGATTCTAAGGGGCCGGGTATACAAGAAACGGTTCTGGTTACGAGATTTGGCTGCTCCAATCTGAGGATATTAGGTGTCTTCAGACGTTCCAGCCCCACTACCTTCACAGCAAGGCGAGAATCAACTGGCTGCAGAGAGTAAACCACGAATTGATGTATAAGCGGGAATGCGGTAAAAAAGCTGAGTAGATGTACCGATTTTACATGATTGAGGCACGTACTACGTAAGCCTAACAACTACCTACCCAGGAGAACGATGTTTTCCGTCCCAAACGGCTGCTGGCAAAAGATCCACAGAGGTTAAGCCACGACATGGTAACGTGAAATCAAAGCGACTACAGTCAAGCTGAGTGCCATGGGATCTCCGCGACTTCCTTGTTGATGTCCACGTGAACGTGCTTGCACGTAGTTGGAAACTCTGAGGAATGTGGCATGCAACTGGCCCTCGTGGTGCACAAACTGTCATTTCCCGGTCGGACTGTTTAGCTGAAAGCCGCCTGTTGTTGAACACTGAGGTTATATCTAGTAAGGTACGGGAAGGACGCTAGGTCAGTCCCGATGATGGTGCTTCATTCGACGATGCTAAGATGTGCCCAGTTAGAAGTGGCCTGTCTAAAGATGTAAACACCTTATGCTTGATCGTCTTCTACAGTGACACAAGACCTGCTCACACTAATTTCCTACGCCTCCTTTTTCTTTCCACCACTTATGGAGAGTCTCCTCATGGTTGTTTCCGAGCCAAGCTGTCGATTTTTCAACGGCCTTCAGCCATGGAATCATGACAGCTTGCATGTATGATTTGTCCCCCCTTGATTTCTTCTACTACCTGGAAACCGAGGTCCTCGTACAGAGTAATTATTCTGGGAGGTTTCTTTTTATCTTGACTAACTTCGCCAATTCGTCGGCGCTGAAAATTGACTTTCGCTTACCCCGTGGGTAGTAGGAAGACACCAGCGGTAGAGCCTCGTCTTCGGCTGTCATTCAGTAGTTTCTGATAAAGCACCGTGGGCTGAGACAAGACTAGTTTCCCATTTTGATATCAACTCTGTGGCGAAGGTTTAGTGAGACAAAATAAGGATGTCCACCATAGGGGGACCAGCACACAAATGTTCGCGCCCGTAAGTTTTTTTGGCTAACTAACTAGGCCACTTAGTTGAAAGCAATGAAATCGTCTGTCTGTCATGATGACGTGTAACTAGAGAAGAACAGTAAGGTTGCAGGGTAAATACTACCTTAAGGCGCTTCTAGTTGATAATTCAGACAAAGAACAGGTGAAACGTGTTAACTGTATCACGAAAAAACAGGCGGTCGGCGTCGGATGGCAGAATATCTCGGGTGTGGGACGAACTATTGAAAAATCAATGCTGGCCATGTGTGTACCTGCTGCGGAAGATGCAGAACACACTTGTCAATTTCAGAAGTCCAAACAATACAGCAATCGGAAGTCTTGGTGGTCAAACAGTTGTTCTTAATCTTGAGAAGTCATTATTCGCGACTGATCATGGGATGTGTAGCTTCGAAAGAACAGTGCACAATGTCGGTCTACCACGTTCAGTCGGCGAGAAAGCGCACACAAATTACCCTGAGCTAACATTAAAATAAAAAGGATGCGATGCTTAAAAACTAAACACCCTGGAAGACTAACGGCCATGCACTGAGGATATGTGTTTATATGCGGTGCCACATCAATAACACCGAAACCTCGAAATACGAAACTGCGTAAAATTTGGTCAGGAACAAGGGCTGGTGTGAACGGTGCAGACGAAAAACCAAGTGGTTGACGCAGCAATAAACAGCAATATCACAGCCAACAGGCGTAGGAAATCGCAGAAGAGAGACGAAATGGCAGAAAGAGGTCCAGGAAAAGAGGAGTGGAATACACTGGCCCACAGTCCCTCCTCGACGGCCGGGTTCTGACTGTTATCACTATCGACCCAATGAATGTGTGTATGAGAAGGGAATGTGTGACGAAGATCAAGGATACAAATAAAGAAATATGAAGTGATCTGGTGGAAAAGATACACATATAAAGGTGAGAATAGCTGAAAGACCACAAGGCAAGGGTATGTGTTAACTGGCATGTGTTCGCAGACTTTTAAATAAACCGGAAAGTGCAGATTTGTGGGTGTACAGAGAACGATCACTTGATAAATATTGACTCGTAGTGTGTGATAAGGATCTGGACGAAAGCGTTGATCATTGTAATTGCACTTAGTGACGTTTGATGCCGAGACCAAATAAGACTTGGCCCGAATACGACTGCTATGTTGGAGGCATTCATTCGGTTCTGCGACGAGTGGAGAGCAACCTGTTCAGGTAGGAAGAAAGAGCAGTTTGTAAGAAAGACGAAACGTTATGAAGAGGGACAAGAATATACAGTCACATAACTAAAATAGCTGTTCACGCTGTTGTGATGACCTTTATTAGGAAATTCGAACGATTAGAACTTTCTGACTGTCAAAAACGATAGTCGAAGTCACATTTGAAAAGTTCACCGGGAACCGGTACGGCGCATCATCGGTTAAAGTGACAGTGATTACTAATCACACTGGCGTGATGACTGGTACGGTCGAGTGCTATCGAAGACTGTTTAGTAGAACGATGTTTTCGAGGTACTCGAGATTGGGTAATCAAGGATTGGGGCTCCGTTGCAGTCCTTGGGGCGAAATGGCTCAGTGGTCAGAACGCGAAGTTACTGCCCAGTCCGTGGTTCGAACCCGACCTCTGTCTCTCGACTTCCCCCGTCCACGCTTGGGCAACCTGGCAGTATCTCAGTCCTTCTAGTAGCATGGCAGTTAGGCATCGAAAGGGTGTTACAGCTCAACGCGTTGCAGTTCTTGACGGCCCCAAGGATTCGTTCAATCGGTAGGGAACAAAAGGCATCCGACACACATAATGGGGTCACCAGACCTTTCGCTACACATGCCGATTCGGCTCCGGTGAAACAGTGAGACGATCTCACCAAGCGTATCTGTCCATACGGTTCTCTAGTGTTGTACATTATGCTCCACAGAGAATCGGGTTCCATCGAGGAAGCAGCTGCGCAAAAGTTGATACAACAGACCGCTGCTTGTTGTTAGGACCTAAAGGGTCGTTCTTATGCTCATTGCAAGATGAATACCTGGTCGACAAGGTCCCGATCTCCCTTGATTAGGATCAGTGCACGGGCGCTTTTCCGATAACTCTTCACCAATAGTAGCAAAATGAAGACAGTCTAGTCAAACATGATCACCTCTGATTTCTGACAAAGAGGGAATCGTTGATGGAGAGAGTCTAGCAGCGTTGCTGTGCATGGCTTGCACATTTCACCAGCAGTGCCACTTTCGAATGGGGATTTTTGTTCTCCAATTGGTTGCCGAGCCCTACGAACTCCTTTAATAGAGTGGTGCTGCCGTTGTCACACGAAAGCAGAAGACTAGGCATATGGATGGTTGGTAGGAAAACCTGCAAAGTTTTCACTGTATCTACTTAGTCAGCTAAACCAAAAGGCTGTACTGATGGTTCTAAATACGTCCGCCTTGCTCATACTCGGATAATTTTGGCGATGCAGATGATCCCCGATTTGCTTGGGCTGATCATTCGTAGATCACTATTTTATGCAGAATATTCTCTACAGTTCAGCGAAGCGCCCTTATTTCGGAGGGAAGAAAAACCCATATCTTCCGAGTGACATTGGGGGAAAGGGCTCAGTATCCATTCTACCAAAATGCATTGACGATACGCAAAAAATTCACTCTGTAGAGTCTAAACCACATGTCAAGTGCGTCAGCCCTGTGTGGATGTCGAACTATTTTGTTACAACAAGTGTTGTGTAACCCATCACCCCCCAACTGGCCGCTATAATGATTAAGTTATTAGGGTCCTATATTAACGGTAATTTCACATCTTAGTATTCAGTCTGAAGCTTCCAAGCTGGTGTTCTCATCAAAGACATCATCAAAGGAGTACGACGTGTATTAACGCCCAAATCCAGGTGAAAAACTGTACGCACAGCGCGTCGTATATAAAGTGTATGCGGCAACAACATTCTGGGAATTCCGACACCTTCGGGTTGCGTCTTTGGCAACCGACATTCTGCGGATACTGGACCATGATTGCCTGTTGAGTTCATACTTTCGGCCAATCAGAGCTCGCCTTGATGCTGGACTGGCAAGCGGCTGCATCTTGCGAGCGGTAAAGCAGTTTCGGTGCGAAATTCACCCTAACCGGTTCAGACTTCATATACGTGGAAATTCTGCGAAATATTCGGTAACAATGTCCACCAGGATCGAGATAGCTTATGGAAAGCTGAGAATCGCATTTAGGGGCACCTGTCACCTACAAAGACGAACCACAGATGGACAAACAACTCAGATGCCATAGTTTGTAAAACATTACACTCAGCAGAATTCCTACATTGCTATTTTCATGCTATCCGAGGCTACCGATAAACAATCAAGCAAAATTATCAATGTTTTGGCATACTGGTGCCCTGAGTCACACTGTCCCTGTGAAAATTATCGCATATGATATTTTGATGAACGACTAAAGACTTGATTCTGGACTATTCAAGCAAGATACATACAAAAAGTTTTTGACGAGACACACCATTCATAAGGTTGCTGAAAACTATTCGACAACCAAGGATCAGCTCAGCTCTTCTTGGGGCTCATCAATTAGGAGTTTCCGCCAACCCAACAATCTGCTTTGGCCACAAGAATGGTGAAACCGGTAGTGGGCTGACAGAGTTTTCAGCAGCTTTATAAGTAGCGTGTTCCGCCAATAAAACGTACTGCGATGTCTTGAATATTGCACCAACCGAAATATGAGGCAGCCTTTGGGTGGCACATTCAGTTGAAGAAAATCACGAACGAGAGATTGGGCTGATACTCACTTTCTCCACCGTAAACACTCACTTGCATTTCACCAATTGGTTCGTTACAGAAAAAAAACAACTCATGCACAGAGAGAGGGAGAGAGCATGGAGAACACAAAATAGCCTGTGCTGGTCTCATGGATATTTGACCTAATTCAGAGCACAAATTCTATTTCTCAGTCTGTGGTGCCCCTCCTAATCAGGTATTGAGCTTACGGATCACGCCCGTCAGCATGCAGTTCAATCCTAGAAATTCATCAGTTGAAGGAAGAACGGTTCAGGGTAAAAGAACGAACCAATGATTGCGCAATGTGACTGACGATTCCAGAGCTGAGATGGGTTATTATACACACTCAACGTCAAGTAACTGCCATCAGAATGTGATTGTAATGCAATTGGTTAGTCTATTTGCTTCAACAGGAAAAAATGGAACTAAACGTACTTCGGTGAGGAACCGCATGAGGTAGTTGAGGACTTCGTAGTTGTCATCAGGAAGTTTGGTCAGTATCAGTTCCTTAATCGCCGACACCTTGTCACGACCTTGTAGGTCTGAAAAAAGATGTGTGAAAGATAAGGAAAATATATGCAAGTGATCTGATTAGAACCACATTGCAAAGCGAAAGCCATAAGTGTAAACTAGCTGGATCGCATACACAGACAAGAGATCCCTGTGCCCGGGGAAGATTGGAGCTTGAGTCGGGAAATGAGGAACTGGGAAGCAGGATCAGGGTCATATCGGTGAATTATGGGAGATAAAAACGCAGCTAAGGTCCAAACAGACGTCCAATGTCTTAGCCATTTTATTAGCTGTTGGATTGATCACTGTGAATGACCTGATGTAGAAGCCGCAACCTCCGGGATGACCATTGCAGTGATGGGATGTTTCAATCACGTCGCCGATGTTCTTTTGAGACTGGATGGATAGAATAGATGGACCCACCGACGAGCACCTATTCGGTGGATGACAGGTGAATAGGTTTTATTCACGAAGCTTGTTGATTGCGTTCAAACAGGATTCGTTAAAAATATATATCTCATTGGTGTCTTGTTGGTTGTGGTTCTCCCTCGACGGTGCCCTCCACTATTCGCCAAACTGCACCTACCCCGTGAGGACGAAATCAAAGTATGCAACGAATTGTCTGACCAGCAAACCACAGGACATGTTTAGAACAGAACTCCTGAGTAAGAGGCACCCTACAACTGGGGACATTTTCTAAAGCCTTCGCAAGATTGTCACTGAAATCACTAGTTAGAGGGAAACCTATCAATTCTACCGAAGGAGGAGAAAGTGTCTTACGAGAGCATCCTACTAAATTGCAAGACATGCCGCATCTTCATAGCCTTAATTTGCCACGTCTCACGTGAGGAAATGCATTAAGATTACTTGTAAATAGCCACTGGATTTGCGGAATTCGCATCTACACCACGGTCGTTTGAACTATCCAACCCATGTCCTAGTCAGATTGAGCTGGTTAATCCACACCAAAGAAGGAAGCGTCGGATTCCAGTTTTACTCCCACTAAAATTCAACGAAAATGAAAGCCGTCGGCAGTTCTGTGGTTTTAAGTATGGACCTCTGACATGTGAAGGGAGTAGGTTATCACTATTTCAGGTTCGAAGGTCCTCAAATAGCGCGTCTGACTAAGCGAACACTTTGAGTGAGAACATCAGTTTAAGGAGCTCCCATAGGCAACCGAAATTCGATGCTTTCACGCTGAACACCGCTAAAAGTTTGCATGTGTCGTCCTGTTCAGCTTAGCGATTCATGTTCGTCCAAAAATACACTAACGGAGGAATGGTACAACGCCTGCCTCGCACGTCAGAAGGTCGGAGTTCAAAGTACGACCAAGGATGAGCGCTTATGAGAAACCCGAATGCAGTGCTTCTCTGTTTGGATTGGATTGACCGGACTAAGTGAGCCCAGAGAGGAGAGAGTGAACAATGAAGAGACCACTGGGTGAACACACATCATGCAATAACTTATTCAATTAGCCTCACACCGGTATTTTCCACTAGTCGTCCCGGGGCCTTTTGCAGTTCCCATCATCAGTAAAACTGAAAAAGTCGTGTGCCTACAAGACGAGCGAATTTCCTTCAGAGGACTTTCTTTTCCCGAGTTTTCTTCTGAGTCTGCTAGCGAATCGACCCGGTCGGTATGATTAGATATCTTTCTTTCTCGACTATAAAACGGTAAATAGTCTATTACATTTATCCACCATCAAGCGAATTGCAGCTGATATGAAATAGTTGATCAATGATTGAGTTTGTGCTTGTCGCGAACTGCTGGGGAAAAAACTAAAACTTGCGAATAATGTTGAGAACAATTTCCGTAAACAAGGGGATGAAGCACATAAGACAGCAGTGCAAGATGGCCGGTCAGCTAGACAATTTATCACCAATCCAGGTGGCATCATCGGTGCGTAGTTAGGAAGCGGAGCGTCAGCAGTGCGTTATGAGTGCAAGGCGCCAGAGCGACTACACAAGGCTGAGGCGTGTCTGGCAACTGGGAGAAATCAAATGTTGGTCCACTGAACTTGAACCGAAACGAATCAGCGTCAATGGTTTTTCTTCCAGAAGAGTGATGTAAATGGCACAACGGAAACCAGTTAGTCAAACAGACCTTGGTCAACTGACTACATTCTAGTAACAACAGAGTATAATTTGCTTTTCAGTCAGCGACTGTTATCAATCATTGTATATGAATTGTTTTGGAGCTGTGAGAAACCAAAAGGCAGCTAGCTATCTCATCAAAGCGGTTATGGAGCGATAAGTGCGGTGATAAAAGCAAAGTGGGATGCAGGCAAGTTGCGAGTGGGAGAACGAGCGGGAAACCTGTTAGCGAAATGGCTATACCTTGAGGGGTTTCTGAAGAAGACAAAGTAATACCAAGGAAAAAAAGGATCAAGGATCGAAACGCGTTGAAACTGGAAGAATGATATGTGATGTTAACAAAATATACTTCGATATCTCGAATATTCTGTACGCCAAATAAAATGAGGGAGATTTGTCCAGCATATTCAGCGGGAGAATAACAAATCACAGGTTCAGTTGAGTCTCCCGTTAACACCAAAACTAATTTGCCTACGCGTGTATTGTACCGAAAAGCGGAATCATTTTTCCCCAAGGGAACGATTTTTCAGCAATGTAGAAGTAATTTCATTGAAACGTCCAAGGGTAGAGAATGAATGGACCCGAGGAGATCGAGAAAATCGCAAAACTCGGATATTTTAGATTATTTTGGGGCATACTACTCACAAGACGATGCAACAGTAACGAACAAACCAGCTTTCACTGTAAAGGGGATTGAGACGATCACTTTTCACACACACGCACACACACGAATGCCACCGTTGGAAAAATGGATCAAAATGTCCTATGAACGCTTTGTGAAAAAACGGTGTAATGGAGGAATTTGTTAGTATCCTCGAGGCTGTCCAGGAGACCAGACCATTGGCGACGTAAAGCCATGGCATTGACTTTCTGCACAACAGCAGGGCCACAGTACGCAACTTGTCGTCAACAGCTTCTGTGGTTAAGTTGCGCAACTGGAATGGGCCCACACCGACCTGTAGGGCACTCACTACATGCCCTTATTGGTTCACATTTTAAAAAAAATTGTCGTGAAAGCTAAATAACAGCAGTGGGTACTAACAAGAGGGTGACAGGTTATGCTCATTTGATTCTCGTACTTGACTTTCCCCGAGAAGTCCCGAACAGGAAGACGAAGTAGTTTACGTGGAAAGCGACCAACATATCAGGACCCAAAAGAGCGTAGACTGGGTCAGCTGCGATTCCATACGAAACTGGAATATCTAGGGTTATTCTAAGGCTTAACACAGCAAATATTAGAGCAGCATTCCGAAAAGAAGAAATGTTACGTCCTGTATCGTGGTGGTTGACAAACTATCTCTAGGCTAGAAAGACTGAAGATTGAAAACAAAACTTAGTTTGATAGATGCAATGAAGTTTAAACATGGTAAACAGCTAGACAACTGCACATTAGAGATAGGAAGGTGAAACAAGCGTCCGAAAAAAGCAAAGGAATAACAGGCGCTGGCAAGAGTTTGCCATAACAGGACACTTATTGTAGAGGGAATACGAACTAGATTTGGGAAGTGTGGAAGTTTTGACGTCGGGATTACGTATCACAACAAAACGACAGATGACCAAGGTAGTGAACATCACCAAGCATTCCAGTACGGATAAAATGCAGGGGGCACACCTAGCGAGTTGCGGACAGCAGTCGTAGATGAACAAGTCAACACAGTGGTTTGTGATTGTAAACGAGACCCAATGTAACTCGAAGAACCAGGCCCAAACCTTCATCTGAATTCCTGAAAATTCTCCTCTCACATAACAATCGGAGCACTTGAGTGCCCACATGAACTACCAAAGAATTAGCCGATATTTAACACTGATGTAGTCGGTTTTTAGGAAGAGATCAACCAACTGTTTTTGCCACCCATTTCCAAAACTCACCTAGAATTACAGTGTATGTCCCTGGCAAGACGAAGCTCTGTGACAGAAACCAATCATCGCCCAACAAAACAATCACCAACTGCTTGTTCAGTAATACCTTATGGTAATCACGCAGAATCCCCGTGTAACTTCAGGTACCCCAAAAGCAACAAACCCCACCTCGAATTAAGTTTATCAAACGAACGACATGGAATCATTTTCTAAAATCCCACATTAGATGACTTGTGAATAGTTGCGGGATTTGTATTCGCACAACTCTTCTGAAGAGATAAGTCTGCCCTGAAATGATTTTTTCGGCTAGTTCACAGTTTTTTGTGTTGATGGCCCCTTCCGAGGCAGCTTCACGAAAAAAGTTCATTTGATTAAGCTTAAATCAGTAGGGTAAACAGCAAACTAGCGAACAAGTTCACTGTCATCAACTAGCAATAAAACAAAGGGCAGTCCTCGAGAAATACACTCATTTTGAAATCAGTTAGGTTTTCACGAGAGACTCAGCCGAATCTCTCGTTTATGATATTCTACGGGTAGAACATAAGGTTGACGGAAACTAGGGGACTGCGCCTACCTGATGAGCCCCAAGAAGGGCGAAACCGGTCGTGCGCTGTCGAAGGGTTTTCAGCAACCTTGTGAGTAGTTTCCCTTACTGAAGGGCAGTTCCTTTCACATCACAGTCTTAGTGACGTAAGTTAGACCTAAGAATCGACAGAAACAACCCCAAATGCTATATTTTGAGATGGCAAACAGCGGTCGGGTAATGCGTAAGCAGGTGAAGATACCTCAGTGTATAGAATGAACATCAATTCATGTCAACGTATGAAGTGATAGTGTTTGAAATGAAACCACATACGTCGAGCGGGATTCAAATCAACGCAACTTTCACAAGTTTTACGAAAGGACAGTTACACTGAAAAGACTGATCCAGCGTATGACTACCACACAATTATGCATGACGACATGCCCCTTTTATTAGACTGAGCTGCCTACAACATGGTATTGTGGTAATGAATTGATGCGACCTATTGGTCTGGTAGATTTTTCAGGAAGAGAACGCATCCATACGGTCATTCATTTGGACGAGAGACGCGTTGGGTCGGAGCCCATTAACAAACACGTGTGGCCGGGAACAAAAACGATAACTCACTTCCCATTCCCAAGATATCATCGTATAGTTCAAAGGTAAGAATCGGTTCCGTGAGTTCACGAAGGAACGATTTGAGCAGAGCGGCTGCCAAGTGTGGATCGTCGTATTCTCGAAGATCCACGGCCTCCCCTATGCGAGAGATGGAAGAAATGATCAGAATTGTCCGGAAAATAGTAAGGGACCCACCAAAACGTTTAGTGAACATGGGACAAATGAAAGGACGAGCCTAAATCCTGAACTATTAAAAACGTCTCAGTGCCTCAGGCAGTGGAATGCAGATGAGAACGCACGCTGGAGTGCTGGTTGTAGGGAGGTCAACAAAGTAATCCCGTAACTGCATCTTCATCTCTTCGCAAGGAAGCTGCAGGTCACGGCATCTGATCTGAGTAGCATGCCATCAATTGATGCTCTTTTACAGTAAGGACCACAAGTTTGCAACGGAAAATTGTTTCAGATAACTATGAGACGCGCCTACCGGTTGGTCGTCTTTTTGATCCCATTACTGACTCTGATCCCATCTTAATCAAGATGGTTAGAGAAAAGACATTTCAACAGTCTAATGAAATGTGGGAAATGGAATATCAGACCGCTGTTTCCAATGCCAGTAAACAGCGGGGAAGTAGAACAACTGCTTCTAGGGGGGAGGGTAGTTAGGACGGATGGACTGACTAGTAAGACTGTTCGGTGTCTACTGGCGGTATTTTCGCACCCGGAATAAATATATTTAAAGTTCGAAACACTTTTGTCATCTCTGGTGATGCTAACCCCATTCCCATCTGATGCACATTCCTCGGGTCTACTGATGGCGTTTGCCGAATTTACATGAATACAGTAAACACATTTTTGTAACATTCACTTTCCCGGATTCCAATACCATGTAGAAGTTACGACCACGAAAGCGTAGGGTAAGACATACCGGCAAAAATGGATCACGAACACCGTACGACACATTCCAAGCCTATTTTGGTTATTGCCACTCCCAGGGGGAAGGTGGCGTCGGGAATGTGAACATCAAAGAGAGCATATAAGAATGTCGTTTGCAATAAATCGACAGAAACAGCGTGACTTTAGGACTACATAGGATGCGTAATTGTCCCGCGCATGAGGGAATTGTTTTGCACAATGTGGCAACCAGAACAAACGTTTCCACGCCAGTTGGTTTTTCAAATCGCTTCGCACCCGTTTCTTAACTAAGTCCAGAGGGATTAATTGACCACGTACCCGATGCTAACTTTTGAGAACACACCATAAACAAATTAAGGAACAAATTCCAAGTGCGAAGTAGAGCGACTACCGACAGACGGTTATTTAAAAGCTGAGTGTTTGTTTCCGATCATTCAGATGCTCATGACCCCTTGTGATCCCGTTTCTATGAAAAATGAGAAAGCTTGTCATCTGATTCCACCCCATAAAATCCGCACTACCGTGCACTACAATACTTAATGAACTCACGTAGAACGACCATTCCAGTACGTCGTAGTGAAAATTTCTAAGAAAATGGACCGGAACTGGGCCGTCATGGTTCGCTAATTTCATTTTTCGTACATTTTCCAAGTGCTGAAGATCGTCCCACACCTACTACCTCTTTAAGCAAAAATAACACCAAATTCTTAACAGTTACTGTCTCAATTCACTCTCCCGGATGTCCAAAATCCGTGATGAACGGACAGCTACTGTGTGACTCTCAGGAGCATACCACCCGAGTAGTGAACAATATGGGTAAAATACAATGGTACGGTAAATGACCTGTTACAACTGCCTGACGCCTCTAGTCATCGTCATCATCATCATCATCGACGGCACACGAATGATCAACATCGATGCCATAAAGTCATCATGATTCAATTGAAAATCTTTTTGTGAAGAAAACAATAAAACTGGATGGGAGAGAGTACACGCTACCCTACCACAGTCAGTCCGAGGTGCACAAACCTTCAGATGTCCATTCAACATAGACAGATTGATAGAAACCGACAACAGGATACCACGAACATTGATTATCAGCCATATCTTGCAAATCCTTCAATCTTGCACAGAAGATATCATGCGGACGCCATCCTGGAAGGCAAGTCACACCGGCAGCATCTACACTTTTCACAATATCCCTCACATTCCCCTACTAGGCCAGAGACTGAACCAGTTGGGTGAGGTTCAAACCGTTCAAAAATCGTTCACCTGTAGCACCCTTTCGGTGCCTAGCTGTCATGCCGCACGAAGGAGGCACGAGGGCTGGGATACTGCCTGGGTGCCCGAACCTAGACAGGGGAACTCGAGAGGCAGAGGTCGGGTTCGAACCACGATGTTCAAATAGTTTCTCTACGATTGTGGAACGAATAGAAGATTTGCATTAGAGTAGGCAGGCCATCAGAACCAAAGATTTCATGTGTGTGCAATCACACCGTATCGTCTCAACACAACCGAATACGAGTCAAGTGCCGGTAGCGAATTAGGAGTACCCACCAGGCAGCTAGTCTAGGCGAAACGAATGGAGAAGGCCCGTGCTTGTTGGACCAATCGTAAGGCCGTAAAAACAGACAACCTGGCTATTGAATATCTAACCTGCTGATCTGCATTCGCAGAAACACTCAGTGTATGTCCATGTCAGTGGATAGTATGTACTCATGCCGGGTACGGTGTGGACGAGCTCATTGCCGGCATAGGGTGAATGTAAATGATGTTATCCACAGCTTAACCCTGACTCACTGACAACCGAATGATAAAATATGTGCGCGACTACTGCAGCTTCCAGAAGGATGACAGCGGTCAATACGCGTTTCTTTGGATCCGTTGCTTGACACAAATCAAGCGCTTGTTTAGTGAACAAATAACTGACAGTGTTTTTGGAGTTCAACTAATTAAATCAAATTAAATTGTAAGTTCAGGGAATAGCCAGATTTGTAAGGCGCAAGTTGGGTAAAATTGAGGAAAACGGGGAAAAACAGATGGCTTGATAGCGCCCGTAACAAGAACTCTGGTTGCCCAGCTTTCGGTGAGTAACTGATCATCAGACGGCCGTAGCCTATCGCAGGCGTTCAAACGATACTACATTTTTTCAAAAAGGTTTGGTAAAAATCGGTGGATTTTGTTTTTAAAAAGGGTATCATTCAGCTGTTTCTTGCTGCATGCATGCTTTGATTCCACCACATGTAATGTGATATTACATGGAGACAAAACGGTGTATTCTTTGTTTCTTTGGTTCTGATGGCCTGCCTACTCTAATCCAAATCTTCTATCCGTTCCCTTCCCCAAGAGAAACTATTTGAACCTCACCCCACTGGTTTATTTCTCACCATTCGGACCAATTCATGAGAAATGCATAATAGCAGTGAGAATCGCTTTCCTGCTTTTGACGTTATGCCTGGTGCAATTAAAGGTCAAATGGTTGAGTTCCTACGAAGGTCAACATGGGGCTTCTGATCAAGAGGCTACCTTCCCACAAAAAGATTATGGTGGCCAAATCTTCTATCCGTTCCCCAATCGGAGAGAAACTATTTGAACCTCACCCCACTGGTTTATTTCTCACCATTCGGACCAATTCATGAGAAATGCATAATAGCAGTGAGAATCGCTTTCCTGCTTTTGACGTTATGCCTGGTGCAATTAAAGGTCAAATGGTTGAGTTCCTACGAAGGTCAACATGGGGCTTCTGATCAAGAGGCTACCTTCCCACAAAAAGATTATGGTGGCATGAAGAAGACTCAAAAAATGTAATGATTTCCGACGAAGTGAACAAAATCAATCCACTTTGCTGAGTTTCAATTTTCACTTTTGTCTGTCACTTCAACCAGTGTCAGAATCACCTTTTTGTAGTCATTTTTAGAGGCTTGGGCTGCAATACTGTTTGTGTACAACTATGCAGACCCACACGTTCGCCTGGATTTTCTTCGCGCTCATTCAACAAAGGCCAGTTAAATGCTCAACACACGTTACCCAAAGTAGGTTTCTATATTAAGGAATTACCAAGCTCAATGAACGTCACGTTGTGCACTGGAAGGGTGCCACAGGCTGGTGTAAACATAGTAAGAAATCGGAAAATTTCAGGGTGTGCCGCAAAAAGTGAGCAGTTTCGCATGCTTCTCAAAAGGTTATGCAGAAAGTTTTCCTTCGATTCTCGACATACGCATACACACACTTCGTGTCCTCAGTTGAAGCACAGCGATGTCTGGCTTGATTCTACTTTGCTATGCGTTTTTGAACGAGTTTAATTCCGCATTTGCATATGGTTCAGTGTGACAGTCAAAAATCAAAAGGGAGGTAATTTGGTGGCGCGGATCAATGCGACGCTATGCTGCAGTATTATTTCTCCGACATTTTTCGCTGAAAAATATAAACGATTGCTAGGCGTCCTGGAGTGCGACTTCATCGTCATTTTTCCCAGCTGGTATAACCAAACCATAAAAGACCATCCAGGAAGAATTCGGCCAATGACCTTTTTTCATTCCATTATCTCGTCCAAATAACACAACCTGTAGTCTACACTTTCCGGATCACATTTTTATCATTTTAACATCACGTTCCTCCAACCGTCATTCAACGAGATGAGATCTTTTGCGCAATTCCATCTGCGTTACCTGTGTAGTCTAGGAACCCGAGAGACCTCATTCAAGTTTGTTGGTTTCGAACCCCTCAGCGATTTCTGCTTCACAATATCGGCCTCCCTAGAACTCTGTACTAGGGGGACGGACCAGATAACTGCCCATCAGTGTTGGACCCAGCAGAAAATCACTGCAATGTACCCGACACCTCTCCAAATGAGCTGCGGTAAAGTTCTTCAACGCGAAACACCTAAATGAAAAGTGCTTCCTATCCACGGAAACTTCTGGACTTCCCGGGATCAACCAATCAATTTCCCATATGAATTAGAGGAATCCATCTGGACCGGGTACTGTGGTGTTATTTGAACCAAGCAATAGATAACGTACATCATTCGTAGTTAGGTGTTTCCAGCAAATGCGAAGAATACGGTATATGCACTGATCACCGGACATCGTTAATCGCCCGTATCGGTGACGCGGAACAAGCAAACTTCACACAAAAGATATATCGCCCCTACGGCGGTTGTAAATAGAGGATTGCTCCCAAGATGCTTAAGTTTTGCAAACGCGAGTCTAGCCTTCGCAAAACTCCACCAGTAGTAACTCAGCTGTCCAAGGAAATCAGTCAATCTACTCCTTGCAAGTAGTGACCTGCTCAAGCACTCAGAGACAGTATTATGCCAGGCTTGAAAGAACGGCGGACGGGAGCCACTGCCAATCTTAACTCGTGCACGTTCGAACTGAGCAGAACAAAGCCGGAAAGAGATCCGCCTTCCTTTTGAATGACAAACTATTCGAAGGAAAACAAGTGGTTCCTTAATATTGGACCTAGCGAAGCTACTGTGGTTCACAAAGTCTCAGATCCAGAATGTACTGACAAGGAAGAAACAACCCATACACCTTCGGAAAAGGGTTGTTGGAAGAGGTGGAAAGATGGTTAGAATAAGCGACGTAGATTCGGAAACTAGATATGGATCAATCCAATCATTCACTCCCGGAGAAAATCGAAATCATCAACTGAGGGCAACACTGTTTGGACCCGCGGATATCGTCGACTGCAGCTCAAGAGGTTATCGGTCCAACTAATGCAGTATCTTTCAAACCCTTAGCATACAGTCTTGTCAGAGTTTCGTGTACGGCAAATCGAAATCGATGACAAAATCAGTGAACAGTCGCTTTGATAGATATGCGTCGACAGTTTAAAGATTTACGGTGAAACATGGTCGGAAGAAATGGAGAAACATGGTTCACCGTTATAGCATTTCGCATACCATATACCGCGGACGGATGGTCTTTCCACTACTACCTCCAATTTGTGCAAGAGGAAGCGAAGAACCACACTCCTCATCCTAGTTCTCAGGACGATTTCTCGATGCCAGGAAATAGGCAAAGTACCATAGCGCAAAACAAAAACCATTCAAAAATAAGCATGTTAGCAACCTAACGGGTCTTACAATCGCACCGTTTCACAACGGACCAGATGCTGCTATATTTACCACTGCCTTCGATCAATAGAAATAGCAGAGGGGAAGGCAGGTAGCATGTGTGGTCCCGTTCGCTGAACGTGCGCGCACGTTTGTGTGAGTACGCAACACAATGCGTAAACACCACATGATCACAAAGACGTGTTGAGGGTTGTGAACAGTGGTCACGTGATAAGAAGACAATACGACCGATAGAAAAGGAACGGACACGAAATGAAGATACATTGTTACTGATCCACCCCCCCACGCACCACACAGATTACTGATCCACCCCCCACGCACCACAGATACCAAACCCAGGACAGAAGGAAGGAAAGGGAAAATAGACTCTAGTGAGCAGTGTTTTATCAATATGTGGTGCTTGTATTCGCTATATCAGAGCAACGATGATCTTCGTTACAGGCTAACATCGCATATCGGTTTCCGACTCTGAAAATACAGTACTTGTCTTCAAGGATGTTCACAGATGGATAAGAGAAAACAGCTACCATGAAAAGGTTTGAAAATCCAGCAAGTGACAATTGTCCACACGGAGAATTCGAAGCGGCGCTACAATCCAGTCGCCACGCGGATGATTATCACTCACAGCGATTCTAGAGACTACACTATCTGTTGGAAAAATGAGTACAAGTCCTGGACCGTTGCCATATACACGAACATCTACGAAAGGGTGAACAAGTGTCTGATGGTTCACTTTATCTGACCACTTCAGAGAAGGTCTCTTGTGACCCTATCAACCTGTGTCGATCAGATGCCTGAACCGAGTTCTAACCAGGATTACTGAGTACCATATTGTCGTGCTGTTTAACCGTAACTTTCGGAGCGACACGAGACCGCCAAAAGATACCCATAAAATGAAATTTGCCTAATTGTGTGGCTGGGCAGAAAAACCACAATGTCTAATTCCCTACGAAATGCTACCACATGAGTCTACGACAGTTCCGCTACCAACACTTGGGCGCTCTAATCGAACGTCGGTCATTTCGAACTTTGCACTTCCAGGGTCTTGTGCTTTCAGGTTGTCTGTCGCGAGTACCCATTTGATGAAACGGGTAGTCAGGGACTTACCAGTGGTGTCAGATACGTGGTTAGTACACTCCAGAGACACTGAATCATTTCGATCATAGTTTGGAAACTTGCAAGGAAAATAGGGTAATACAATCTTCAAGCTCGATAATTCAGCTGTGATTTGAACCAAGTCAGTATGACATCCCCGTGCACAAAAAAAACCACAGTAATCTGGGCTGGGACAACCGGTTGAACGAATGCTGGGCATTCGCCATTAGACTTCAAGGTCCTGATGCAAAAGTACACTTGACACGATGCCCAAGAGGAGCGAACGATCAGACATAGCTTCAGGTCCAGTGAGGACGTACATATCTGGCAAAAGCTAGTACCATAGTAAATAATATGCATGACATATCAACCGAGATTTAATAGTCGTACAGTGAGCCAGTTGGTCAGTTACCAGCAAGAATGCACGAACGCGAAACAGACTATCGAGTGCCCGATTTAATCGAAATTGTGTTTGTTTTAACGACGTCCAGCTCATGTGACCTGTTCGCAATTGCTTTTACCAGGCTGACTGTATGCAGACAAAAATGATTGTAAGTCTGTAAGTCATGCGAATACCATGCTACCAAATATTTGTTCCCGGTAGACGCACGACAACGATTGTAAGACAAACTACCTCGGTTGTACACATCCTGAAGCTGACGCAGACGTCCGACATTCACGGATCGACGGAATATTCCATCTGTATCCAAACCTATAAGAAAAAGTACAGAAGGGTGAAGGAATTTGGAACACGTTGCAGTTAGGGGTAGAAAAATGACTATCCGGACGAGTTCGGCATTCCTGTTCAAAGAAAAAGTGGCGAATGGTCGCTACTTTTGAGAGGTGAAAGTGTTACTGCCTTCGTCGTCAAAAAGGACCATAAAAGTATGCTGGAACATAGGATCGGACGCATAGAAAATCCACTACCTTATCCGAAGGTATTGAGTGTGAAAATGCATAGCCTTAAGAATCGAAATTCACGTTGGGTTACTACATCCACATGCAGAATAACAACACATTCTTTTAGTGAGCAGGAAAACAGAAAAATGAATCAGGGTGGTGTTCGAACCACGGACCTTCCAGTCAGTAGTTTCGCGCCTTAACAGCTAATCATTCAGATGTTTAACAAAATTAAGCGATTGCTTCCTCGATCCGCAGTTTGCGTGAATATATCAAACGAAGTTGGTGGACAAAAAAGTTGAAGTTAAGAGGACGTGAAGCCAAAGATGAAAGTATTTGTGAATCATCACCAGCCGTAAGGACATCGTACTTTTCGTACAGTGGTTAGGGCTGCCACACTATCTTTAACCGATGATTTGAGGAGATAGGATAAGTAGGTGTGCGTTGGAGGCGGTAGCTAGTATAATTGATGCATAGAGACAGGGTTGTAAATGGGCTTTTACTAGCGGAGATTGGAAGGGGAGGCGGAAGCCTGGATGCACGAGCACTATCGAGGGCACGACTGGGCCATGTCTGACAATGTCTGTAACACTTGGTGTGTCCAATCTCGGGGTTCCCATCCAGAAAGACGGTAATGACCAGAGCAACTGAGTTTGCTGATAATGGCCTTCATACTTCGTTGTGAATCGTTCAGGTGTAACACCCTTTCGTTGCCCAACTGTCATGCCACCCGAAGGAAGCACGAGGGCTGGGATACTGCCAGGTTACCCAAGCCAAGACAGGGGAATTCAAGAGGCAGAGGTCGGGTTCAAACCATGGACCTGTCGATCAGTGAATTCGCGCTCTAACCACTTGAGCCATCTCACGGTGAATGGAAAGCTTTGGATGCCTGGAAGCAGTAGGATGGATGTGCCATTGTTCTGATAAATTATACTGCTGATCAACCATTGCAGACGATCTCAGGCATTAAGCAGCCGTTTAACCCTGTTCGAAGAAACTTGTGTACAATGCCCGCTCGTCAACTTGTTATAGTAAAATTAGATCCATGAAGAATTCTTAACAGGGCTTGATATTCAGCAGCTGCGTTTTCCTAAGCTGACAAACGATCTGGTTGAGGAAGCACAGACTGTGCAATTAGGTATGGTTATGCCCGTAACACAAGGAAAAGACCGGTTGGGATGAGTAAACTGGATGCAACAACATTTTTCTGAATGTTTACGTGGGTGCACTCACCAAATTCGCGTAAATAATCCACTGCATCCTCCAGCACGATAGGAATGGAACGTCCTCCGTTATTCATCTTGATACTGGACAGAAGATGAGTACTTGGATATGATTAGGAAACCATACATGATATAGTCGGAGACGAAGACTGCTACAGGATTTTAGCTAGATACCCACCTAGTACGCAAAAGCCAACTGCCCATCTTACGTTAACGAGACCTGTACGGTGGCGCACACGTGAGATGGGAGTACTGTGTTACCAGTGGCGAAGTAAATCGAATGCAAGTCGCGGAGAGTTTACCTCGAAAGGTTGCAAGGAAACGGACTGGTGGATACATAGAATGCGGTGGCCATACAAGAGGAGGAGAGCTGCGTTGAACGGGTTTCTACGAAATCCCGACGAATTCGCCTTAGATGGTAGATCGAACAGCAGACGTTTGATGATAAGATCTAACTCTTCCCTAGGCGACAACGAAACCTACGGGAGAAGCAGGTAATGTATCAGGCTACGAAGTGGGCCCGTTACGGATCAAGTTCTGATAGTCTGCTTTAAGGAATTTAATTCCGTCACACGTGTTGTTGCTGAGGGAAGAGTTGGTCACGTCAGAATCATGAAATCTCTTCGAGGTGGGAATTACTACCATGACCGTGCGAACAAAACACATGAGAGCTGGGATCGACGAGGAATGATAGTGGGTATAAATAGGGCAGACATTCGGAGGACCGCAAAACTCTTCAAGCCAAACGATTGCTCACTGCATGGTGTTATGGGTATGAAACTACGGCTGGTGTGTGACCTCCCTCTGATATTCAGTGTCATCCAGCGCCGTGTGAGTGCCCACAAACCGAGGCGCGGTTGATTGTCTGTTCAGGGTTTACTCTTGTCGATCTGGTGGAGTACAAGAGTCCAACATAAATGTGCAGTGTAACCCGTTTACTTGTTAACTGAACGCTTGGATAAAAGTGAGGCCACATGACAATCATATTCACCCTTGTTCCTTGCTCCTAAGCATCTGATTACGGTCTCTTCAGACAGGTCGAAAAATGAACCGAAATGATATAAGCAAAAGCGACTCACAATTGCAGTGATACATTGAACTGCTGTTGGGGTTCCGGTTGGCTGTCGTCCCCAGGTTCATCATACATCCCAGAAATAACTGAAACCAAATCATTCCGAGGAGGTCCAACCGTAAGGTGTGTGGGACCGCTGATCCTAGACAGGCCGGATGAGTGGAAATTTATGGATTCATTCGGCGAGGATGGGAACGTACATATTACAAACATTAACCAGAGTAATAACTTTGTGTGTGCGCAGAGCACAAGTTTTTTTAAAAAGAAAAGCGACCCAAACATTGCCAAAAACACAACGGGAGGATTCAGCTCCCTATGGAGCGTTTAATGGCGTCAAAAAACGACAAAGATGTCATCGACTCAATACTAATCAATGTAGTGAAGAACCATGGGACATCGGGGCTATCAAGACCAGTTCAAAAGCACTGAACCTGAACAACTAAGCAACATCGCTACCGAATGGCACACCCAAAACGAGAAGTTGACTCAGGCTGGATGGACAGAGGTACAGCGAATCGAAACGGAAAACGCTCTGAATGATCGGAGGTGTTCCTCGATCCAAAGGTCGGCCGTCAGAGGAGCCATCCCGTAGTGCCAATGTGAAATCTTGAACTCCACTAGTGAAGAAAAGTACAATCTTGTACAGTTTCAAGTCTCCACATTCTTCTAGGCAGACGACTGCATTCGTATGATACGATCCAGAAAACTATTCGAGAGGACCGTATTGCAGCGCTGCAATCTTGAGGCTAAGTACCGCAGTATTGTTGATGGAAAGCAACCCACGTCCGGTGTTCGATCGAACTCCTTAAAGTTAGGATCTGCCATCCCACAAGTAACTGGATAAATTAAAACTATTCAAATGCGTGTAACGGTTCAAGAAGTTAAGACCGACAACAGCTTGCGGACTGGAAGGTCGGCGATTCGAAGCCAACCTCAGTATCTCGACTAATCCTGTCTAGGGTTGGGCGAACTAGCAGAATCCCAGCCCTTATGCCTCCTGCCGTTGCCATGGCAGCTAGGCACCGAAGGAGTGCTACAGCTGAACGATCGATTTCGACGACACGTATCTATATGGCATATAAATAACAAATACGAAATGGCAGCACTTGGTTTACTGTGACAGGTGTATGGATCGGCTTTCCGTTTTATCGATGTGATTGATTGGGTACGGTGGACAATTGCCCTGGATGTGAGTTTACATGGTAACTAGAAAACTTGAGCTAAGCAACCAACCAAGAGAATGTTCAACAAAATCACAGTCATTCCGATGGAGTCTCCGTAACAGATATACCTTCCAAGGCTCGGATTGCTCTCAAAATACGTTGAAGTAGACCCCGTAACGATATTGTACAACATGCGTACAATACGACATGCCGCTATTAACCGATGGAACAACTGTTGGCCAGTGGTTAGTGTGCATCCGCGGTCTACAAGGACGTCTATTGAAGGGGTTGACAAAAACTCAACTAAAACAATTAAAAGTGAGCATGACAAGGATCACACGATTAGGGCCTTTAGGAAAAGCCTTGTGTTTCAACACCTAACCGCAAGGCAGCTGTGGTTGGCGAGACAGCACTACAGTAGTAGTGCTTTTAAGGAAAACGTCCCCACACAAGTTCTAACCACCAACCTACCTGATACGAGAGACTTCAATTGTCTGACGGACAACTGCTCGATGGGTGACGGACGTGCACGAACCGTCGTACTACGATAAGGTTCGGTGTTTTCTTGACGAGTTTAGGATAACGTCACACTGAAAAAGTGTCCAGTCATGTATTCCGACTATCTGGCTCAAAAGCCTCTCTTTACAATACTTTATAAGTGAACGGATGAAATGACACTGTGGCCAATGCCATCTACTCAGTTTCTGCGACACGGAATCTGTTTACTTGGCGTGTTCCCCCGGGCTCATGATCGGATGGAAGTTCGGTCTGCGAACTCGTTGTTACACGATGATACAGAGAACAACTCGTAATGAGGTGAGAAATATGAAACATAGCGACGCCCTGTTGAAATTTTCCACCACATTATATACTCATGACACTACGTCGTGATCATATCTGGATGTGGGCAACAAAGAAATCTATGCCGATTGGTAATGCGCCAATTGGTACCATGAAGCTGATGACCATGCGAACTAAAAAGACGCTCTGCATCAACAGTCCCCGTAGATGTCTTGCACAATCCATACGGATTTCGGACTATCGCTGTTGACAAAGTAGCTCCGTCGCTGACTCCGGGTGAAAAGGAACACGAACATACGGCATAAGTAATACTGAACCCGAAGGTGTTATAGATTCATACATTCCCTCACTTTTTTCATGCTCCAGAATTGTTGCACCATCACAGGTTCTAAGAACGGGAAGAACCGAGGTGCTCTCACAACTCTGATGAGCTCCCAGTTGAATTAAGCGATGTGTCGGTTCTCAGACTAATTCGGAATCTGGAGCCATTATTATTGCTACACATGACCACAAGCAGGCAGAACGATAGAGCAGTTCAAAAAGGTATCGTGCACGTCATTAATAGCTGGTCCTCACGCCCTATTACAAAATTATCAGACGGCTCACAGAACAAACCCACCATTAACCTGGGTGGCTACAAGTCGTGTACAAGTAGTAACATTTATGTCTCCGAAACCGACTGGGTGGACATTCTATTATGCGAGTGGAAAAGCATCAATCTACCATTCGAAAATGACGTGAAAATAATTCACAGAGGTTTTGGAGAGGAATGGTCGAAAAGCATACACCGAAAACTTGGTCAATGTGACCGAGTAGGTGACCCTACGTTTTTACTGCACTCATTTTTACACTTTTTACACTTTCCTCCCGTAAGCTTTAGATCAACAAGTCCATTCATCTTATTCAGCAATTGTGGACTTATAGTGAAACAATATGAGTGATTTTATAGTCCTTTAGGCAATTGTATAGTTGGAAAAAAGAATCGTTAGGATTAGTAAGCAATGGAAAATAGTTGACAAAACTGCATCCCACATCTAGGAAATATATATCCGGAATACATGTTGATAGTTGATGAAAACAAAAGGGCGGCGCGATACGTAAATACAATGAGCAATATATAAATGAACAGAAATCGCGCGGGAGGGACGCTAAACTGGGCGGATTAGTGTGAGCGAGAGTAATACTCACAGCCGTGCGGGTAGAGAAAAATGTCGCCTTTGAAAGTGAGAGAACATAGTGGTTTGAAACTCGGAGTAGGCATGGTTTGCAACTGATTCTCTTTCTGACCTCTCGAAAACAATAGAGTGAGCAATTGTTCAGCATAGGAGGCGGCACCAGTGAAAGCGTCAAGGAGTCTCCGAACTCCTCAAGAGGAAAACCTACTATCCGGGAATGTCAATAAGGTAAGGCTATAGGAAGATATCTCAAAAGATCAAAACGCCAAATGGCCATTCCAGAGACCCCTGAAGTAGTGGCGAGGAAATCCTGTTGGTGCACGGCAAGCTTAGACAGTAAAAAATACCGTACATTGGAAAGCAAAAGCTCCTCAATACCGATAAAAGATGCGGAGCGAAATAAGCCATGAAAAACGAACGGATTTTTTCTAGGTGAGTCCCCCAAAGCGGTTAGAAGAACTACAATTTTCTAGCTAGTTACATAAAGTACTATTATGTTTCAGTAATCCTTCCACATGGACAAACCAATAAATTTCAACTAGTTTCAAACAGTTGAAATCTCCATAAGGTCAGACTCAAACATTCGTTGTTGGCGAGAAGCACAAAACTAAGGCTTGTTTTCCCTAGTCAGTATTCTGATTTGTATCTGACCTTGTGTCTGTTCGTTAACCGATTCGCCAAAAAGTTAACCAGTAGACGTAAAGTGTGGCTATTCTGAACGGTCCGCCCCCGAATTAGAGGTCTAAACTGAGTAGATATCACCATATCCATTTTGCCAAACACTTCCTAAAATTTTCGCCTCGAAACTCTTTCACCAACCCTTAAACTCAACCGCAAAAGTTCTTAATGCAACACTCTCCTTGCCATATCCTCTCTTCACCAAAATACTAGAAACCACCGTTTGCGGTAGAAAGTTAAGTTGAGCAAACAAAGTCGAACAGAGGGTTGAGTGATCCGATCAACTCTACGCGCCAGATTTGGGATTCAATGCTCACAATAAAATCAACAACCGCATGTAAAATAAACGATGTTCATTGGGAACTATTGGGCCGCTTGAGAAATACAATACAATCATTTGCCGACGTTCAGCTGTAGCATCCTTCCGGTGCCCAGCTGCCATGCCACCCAAAGGAAGCACGAGGGCTGTGATACTACCAGGATGCCTAAGTCAAGACAGAAAAAGTCAAAAGGCAGCAGTCGGGTTCGAACCACGGACCTTCTTCTCTAACCACTGAGCCATCTTGCCCCCATTTGCCAACACAGCTCACAAATTACCACACTCGTCTAACAGTGGTTAAATGAAGATGCTTCGGAAAATCGCTCTGAAATTCCGCCTCATCAAAGTCCTGACATCCTTGAGCACCCAGGAGACGACGGACCGAAGGTGAGAACAACAAGTAACTTAACTTCGAGTCGAACCCTCGGATAGCTTTCCGTACACTCGAAGACCAAAACGCCAGGAGTAGTTCGGAAAAAAAGACTAAGTCACACACACTTACTGAGTCGCTCCAGATTGATCAGTTGCAGCGGCCAGCTTGGCGGCGATCAGTTTATCATACCTTTGAAGAGAAACCGACAAATGCATTGATTAAGAATCAAAAAGAGTAATTTTACTAAGTTGAAAGGGTTCATGTGTATTCGAACAAGAGAACGAGCATCTTGCGGGACAGTGCCAATGATTTCCTATGCTGCAGTCATTCGAAATAAACCTGCAGCAAAGCGCAAAAGGAGTGCCGAATAGTAATTTCTATGCAGACGGTTTTGAAACTCTGCAGTAAATTGCCATACTGGGACCTGCCTCAGGATGCAAGCCTATAGCGGGAACGTGTCCTTAAACTGCCCCACTGGGCTATGTATCGGAACTTAAACCAAGGCAGGATTCGCGACTAAGTTCGGTGAGTTCAGACCGTTACATGATCGCTACCTTAGTTGTTTCACTGACAGTGCGTCCAGTAAACAAGAGTAAAATCCCATCCACGGATTCATGGTAAAGCAAGTGAACAAAATTCTTAGTTGACTTGATCACGTTTGCCCCTGTGTACTACAACCGTCAAACGGGATCACTAAAGCCAGAATACACGACCAAACTGTGTACCCACAACACCGAGATGATCATCCAGTAAGCCTCTGGGAACAGCCAAAAGTGGACGGTCAATTAGTCTCTTTTCCCTTTGAGTACACGTCCACGTTTTTACAAAGCATTTAAACTCTTCAATTGAAGGCCAGTCGTGTATGTAACACAATTCTAAAGAAATCCGCAACGATGCAATTTAATTCCCCCCCCCCAAAAAAAAAACTTACTCCAAAACACGATGAGGAATTGGAAGCTGATTCAGGAAAAGGAATTCCTCCAGCTCCTTCAGTCGTTCAATATATTTGACTTTTTGCGTCATTTTCGAGCTGCAAAAAGGTCGGGATTGGTAAAGACAGATGTACTCATCTCATCTTGGACAAAACACGCAAATATGGATTAATTGAAAAGTTCTCTAAAACACCAGGTAGTAAGTACTGTGGGATAAGTGTGTCTGTTACTCATTCGTATACTTCCCAAAACGGAATCATACAATGCTAGGAAAATGCTGGCGCTAAAGTCCTAATGACAGGTTTTATCGAAACAGACAACTTATGAAAGCGCGTTGCTCTGCAAAACAAAACATTAAGTGCAGGATCAATGGCATAAAAGCACTATAATGACTGATGAGTCTCAGGAATGACCTAAATGTGGATAAATCCTTGGGTAAGGGCATCAGTTTGATGGCATCTATGTTTTCCGGGTACGGTCTTCGGTCATGACGATCGATTGTGAATCCGAGGTATTTGATGGAATCCATGAAAACTGTTCAGTTTCAGTATGGGGATGAAATCTCCTGGAAGTGTTTTGACACAAACCCCTGTTTACTGGTTTGTTCTTCAGAATCGAGGAATCCGATGGCTAGTGTACTCCAGAGCAAACTGAAATACCTTGTAACTCGCCGGTAGCATTCAGTTACAAAAATGGGTCTGCAGAGAAAGCATACGATATGATGACTGATACCCATTAGGAAAGCTACACTGATCCGTGGGTGACTCGGCAGAAAGATAGAGGGTAAAGACCAAACAGACAGCTCAAATGTCTGTCTATGAAGCCCATGATTCGTTTGCTCTGATGTCCCATCCAGTCAGGAGGTCAGAGGATGTCAGTGAAAGGCTAACACTAGGAATCAGATTGCGCAAATCTGTTTCTTTACCCGCAATAAAACCAGCCGCAGGTTACGAGCAGAGAATGTCTCAACCATCCGAAATCGTTTTGTGCGTTACACCAGTATCTTCAATTCAAGAGACCAGAAAACCACTTTGTGACGAGAAATGTTTATTTCTCGTTAGAGCATTGGTTACTCCCAAACAGCTCAGCATCTGTGCCGTCGACTGGTCTGAACAGTTATCTTGCTTTTCAACTATTCTGTGCGCTCACTCTTTGACACATTGATTCAAAACCAATCGTGACAAGGGATGTCCCAAGCTGATCCACGTAGTTTAGGACACGGGGAATACCCCCATCACGCCTCCCGCGCACAATTACCCGATATTAAACTTTCACTCCACAGTGATGCACGAAAACCAGAAGCGCAACATAATGAAAAATAAAGCGTCAGGTCACGATTGATCACCGGCTGAACAACTCGACGTGAGTACAAAGCTAAGAAGCTCGGCTAACACCTCTGTACGTGACATTGGAAAAGAATACCCGTGGCTCACCTTATAAATGGTCGGAACAATGACCACAGTATCTTGATTCCAGTCGTCGGATGAACAATAAACAGGGCTTTTAGATTTTTCCGAAAGCTTGAAGAAGAAAAAGCACACCATGAAAGTATCCAACCACAAAAACCTGAAGGTGCACCGCAAGAGCCCAATTGCGTTAATACATTCGCCCTAAAGGCGCAAACTCCTGTATAGTTAGAGCATACGGCACTGTAGTTCATTGCCTAAAAAACACACGGCAAGACGCAGACAAACTGGCGACACGAACTACTACACGAGAAGAAAGTAGTAGTCCTGATAACATGATATGCGTCCAGGGGCATTACTTGCAACTAAATGGTAATTTGGAGGGGGGCTGGTTCCGCCCCGAAGACTACCGTTTTGTGAATGTTTTTCTACGCTGAACATACAGCTGACAGGCGGTTACGATATTCAGAATGAACTGTATGTTTTGTGTAATATATGTGGTCCGCACTGTGTCGACCGAATCATTCAGGTATAGCACCCTTTCGGTGCCCAACTGCTATGCCACCCGAAGGAAGCACGAGGGCTAGGATACTGCCAGGCTGCCCAAGCCTAGACAGGGGAAGTCGAGAGGCAGAGGTCGGGTTCGAACCACGGACCTTCTGGTCAGTAAATGCGCGCTTGGGCCATCTCACCCCGAGCATGTTCAGCAAGCAATAGGTTGTTGCATGAATGCCTACAAAACGCGATTATAGCATTTCTGGTAGGCTTTCCATGGTGTGCCAACAACCTCAGGACAGATGGTGGTCTTATGCGAAACCAGCGCACCAAGAATCGGGAATTCACACCTAAGCTCAAAGGCTCCTTTTTATAATGGACATAGTATTCCAATCCTTGGTTCCGCACCAGTACGACTTCCGCTGATGTGAGACGTGAGATATGTCGTATCTGAAAATAGGAACAATGTGCAATGCACAGTGTGCTCTTCTCCTCCACAACTCTTTGTTCACCTGCAACTGAACTGTATGAATACCTATGCTCTGAAAAAGTGTCAACCTCAGAAGCAAACCAATCCCACATACCAACAAAAGTGAGGGCAGTCCATGAGAAAATGTGTAGAACATTACTGATCGTTACATCCTAGTTTTCCTGTCTACCACGGCATGCGTTGTCGTGTAAACAAGGGGCAAAATCAGCAGATCATTCAGGTGATGTCGATTGACGGAGGCCTGGAGTAGACACGGAGCAGTAACAAATTTCAACAAGATCGTTGGTGTCATGCCAGAGTCATAACAAAGCAACTCAAAAGAGGAGTAAACTGTGTGAATTTCCGCGTTATGAACGGTGGATCCATTTCACTTGAGAGACTACCAGTAAGGATCACCAGCAGGGAAAGTACCACGAATTCTTCTGCGGTCAGAATCGACCGCATGGTCATCCAGTCAGCGCGAATTTCCGGAACGATGATGTGACACCAAGGACATATGTAAAGCTATAATTCTCTACAATAAGTACAATCATTCTCGACCGCACGACTTAGTCTAAGTACGTCGTAGTTTCGCACTTTTTTTCTTTTTCTCACCTTCTGTGGTCATGATTTACGATGCGCAGCCATTACTTGTTCCGAATTCGCCAGAGGAGGCTATCGTCGCGTATTGCTCCTTTTTCGTACCTATTGTAACCAGGCTCTCCGGTTGATCGGCTTTAGCAACCAGCAGTACCAACGAATACGATCAGTTTTCGCAGCTCCCCATGTCGTATGCAAGCTGTCTGGACGATGAGACATGTTTGCCCCGCGGATGGTCGCGATTATAGGCTAAAAAAAGCTGAATTCGAATAGTTCAAAATGTCCTACATCTGCGACAAACGGTTCATCATACGGTCTCTGAGAAAAACGCCCAACAAGGCGTTCAGCAATTTCCCTGCAACGAGGCTATTGCGAGTCGGTTGCCAAGAGCAACGCGACACACCGGAGGATATTAAATTTGCGAATAGTAATCTATGCGAACAGATTCTAGGCATAATAAGATGACTTACTTTCGGTCGAACGTGCGATAGGCTTGGACAAGCCAGCCAAACCGAGGTTTGTTCTTATTGGACAATCCACAGTGGAAATAGATTAGGCTGTAGTCGCTGCTCACATACTGCTCAAGCGTCTTTGTGATGTACCTGTGTACGCGTGTGTACAGTAGAATAAAACAGGATGAAAGAAATCGTACGCGTGAGAACCAGTCAACATTATAGCCTTGGCAACGTATAGTCATCCGTCTGCGTATCAGTTATAAAACCTGTAGGTTTCTCAGTAAAAAGATCGGATTCGTCCAAACGACCTATTAATCCGAATGGACAAAAAACAGTATGAAGTATGAACGAACATACCATGTTGCATGGAAATATAGAATGGAAAAAATTATCCAATGAATCGGCTGCCATTGCTAGAAAATTCTCACATAAACCAGCAACACACGACCAGTCCCCCAGCTAATTTATCCCTTCCGCGCGCAGGAAACGCAGCCTGTGAAACAAAGCTACTGTCCAACGGACTATTGCTTCTGCTTTACGGGAAGTGACCTCCAAAAACAAACTGAGTACAAACATTCACGGTAACCATCCCCGCCTCCCATATGCCTAATCCAAACGAGCAAACAATTCGACTTGGCTTCAGTTTGGCGAGAAGTTCTCGCGGCATTTCGATTGTCTCTTGTTCGAAGTGGTAAGGTAACCTTTGCAGCTTTATTGGTGGAAGAAACAGATGGACATTTCAAGACGTGGACTGACAGTGTCGATCCGAATTCGATTCGGCAAAGAGGTGTTCCATAAAACTGAGCAGAAACTTGAATAACCCATACCTCCACAGTTTGAACTCAATAAAAGTGAAAACCGTTGAGATTTCCATAAACCACTGCTGTAGTTTCTCAAAAGATGTCAAAATAACGTGTGGTAATCACGGTATACATTACCGGGTTGAATCTCTTGACAACCTGAAGAATTGCTTCGTTCAGGTCTCCTTTTGGGAGCGAGTACCGCTCACTGTCATAATCTTTGGAGGAGATTGTTACGCTGAGTAGTGATGGTCCCAAAAATCACTTTACAAGGCACGAATAGGGTCGCACATTGGTTCATTTCAATCAACTGTTCGTCTCGGAAAATAGCTCCAAATACAGGTAGCCACTGGGCTAATCACGTCAGACGGACTGGTAGAATATCATTTTTGTGATGAATTTGAGCAAGACATATGAAACTCCGTTGGCTAGTAATCTAAACGTGTTTCGTTTAATCTACTCATACATAACTCGTTCGGCTGTAGCACCCTTTCAGTGCCTAGTTGCCATGCCACCCGAAGGTTGCACTAGGGCTGGGATGCTACCAGGTTGCCCAACCCTAGGCAGGGGAAGTCGAGGGGCAGAGGTCGGGTTCGAACCACGGGCCTTCCGGTTGGTAAACTCGCGCTCTAACTACTTGGGCCATCTCGCCCCTGGTACATAACTAACACAGCCGCAACGCCATTTATCCGTTATCCATTTGGGCAGAAACAGTCACAGCAAGTCGTCGGCTTCCAGATGACTACAAGCTCCGCGCTTTGGTCTGCTTTGTTACGGGTCGGATTATGGTTCTTAGACCGAGTAAGCACTCGTAAATCAACCGTCTTCCTCGGCCTGAGCGGCCCGTCCACATAATTTTGTGGCACACAGGCGCCCCTTCATCATCATCATTGACCACCGGTATAATAAATATACTCTGCTTTCAATTTAGATTCAGTGAAACCACACAAATTTTGTGGAAATTCAGGATTATCTGCAAGGGTCCTTCTAATCAGCGCTACCTTTTCTCCAGAAGAGCGCAACTGACGAAAATCTGTAGTCAGTCGACGAGCAGTTCATCCTTCGTTACCTAGACGTACCCACTTAAAAAATAGGCTTAACACGTACCATCTGTAAGATAATGAATTCGGCAATTTTTGCACGTGACCTCACGTTTTGAAACCAAAACAAGATAGTCACGCAAGGAAATACTATTATTGACCAGCGAATGCGGCAGTTTGGTGGTAGAACGGAAGCTATATAAACACAATCGGCACCACGGAACGCAGTGAGACAAGTCCTTAAGGAGTTAAAACAGAGAGATTCACTAGAGTGGGGCCTAAACTCGCGGCTTCTCGTTTAGCTGGTGACATTAACCTATCAGACTACTGCCACAACTACTGTTAGGTTTGAATTCAAGACAGTAGTGTGATCACGCATCTCTGTGAACACATAGTTAATCGCGTCTTCATGTTCCTCGTCTGGGTATTTCTACAGCAGATGAACCTTGCTGCAGGTGTAAACTGTAATGCCCGTTAATCAACGAACGGAGTCGTGACAGGATAGCTGAGCTATTAGGGTTGGGCAGATGAAGTTGGAGGTCTACAACTTCAGGTCAAGAACAGCCCCAGTGCTCTAAAGAAATGGAATTTCAACGGCAATCTGAAAAACATAGTGCTTGGAGAAATCCACAGAAATTATCATACATCCAACACAGGGTATCGTTAGGACGACCCTGATAATCTCTTACAGACTAAGTGAAAGCTAAGCCATATACGAGAATAGGCTTGATGTTAACTTTGCAGTACAAGCGAACGGAAATCCAAACTCTGAACAGATGGAAAGGATAAAGCAGCTTTGGGTTATGTCGAGTGGATGAAGTCGATTAAAACTTTTGTGATAACCCGCTTATATGTGTAAAAATGCTAGCACACGATCAGACCACAATACAAGCAAGGACATGAGCACCAATAAGCGTTGATATTCTGTCACAAGAAAACAAAAGATGCCTAAGATGCTATGTGGAAAATCTCTATTGTCCCGCAAATACCGGTTGAGCACCCGTCCATATTTGATTGACAGATGTCGCCCACTGCAAAACTTGGTGTAATCCACATGGATTTGATGGTAAATCACATAGAACAGGATGAACTGGTCCTCGTGAGAGATCACAAGACGTAGCGATGAAAAGCCGGAAGATCCACTGAAAACGGCAAGTTACAAGCGAGCAAGAACTATTTATTGAATGTTGGACCACGCAACCGGAAGCTTATCCATAGTCAAACAACAAAGAGTAATCCGGAAACACTGGTAGCATACCTGTTTGTTACAATCCCAAGCAGAAAACATGAAACGAAGTGGACTTGGAAACACAACGCACTATTGACAAAAACACGAGGACTTCATAGACTGGTATCTGTGTTTGCCTGCGTTGGCTATGCTAGTTCGCTCGAATGCTCAATCAATCAAGGAGAGCACGTGCTTGCAGAGACCAGTTGAGCGTAAGACAAAAATGGTCACGGATATCATAGATGACCCAAGAGGTACGTACGTCTGAGGTAGTAGAGCAATTTAGGGTGCTACGTCACACCGAAAATCACCATGCATAGCGGTAAGGCTTGTGTATTCGGAGCTCCACTTGTTAGCACAGCTGACGACACATCTAGCAGCAAGTATTTTGGTACTAGCAGATAATCAACAAGATGCATACAATGGAAAAGTGTGCGACTAATTCAACGCAAGCTTTTCTAGATGCCAGCTTAAACCTATTAACCTGTTCATTGCTTGGACAGGTTATCATGGTTGGTTGGAGCAGAGATCAGGTCAGATTTGAGAAACTGCTTGAAAGAAATCATTCACAACCCAGCGGAATGCTTTGGTGACAAGAACCAATCCACCAGCGTCTACACTTTCTGCGTTGAGGTTAATCTTTCAGAATTCTTTGTGAATTTGTAGACAAAAGTGACCAGACCAGAATAATACGAAAATCCTTTTAGCATTGCCAAAACTGCATATCGAATGCTGCCCCTGAGAGATTGAATTACAAAAATAATCAACTTAGGTAAAAGCCTGTTAATCCATTTTCGCCATTCTCTCTCGTGAATTTAATCATGTTACTTTAGTACCCAACTCCTGCGCAAGGATATGCAGAGCATAAGCGCGCCAAAGAATGCGGCTGCTCAGATTTCCCTACTGGCAGCAAACCACGCACAAATGGGATCCCAGATGAACGTGGAGTTTCGAGGGGATATGAGTGACGTCCCATCCCCGTTCGAGGATGCACCGATAGCCATTGCATTTGTGATCAGCAACGCAGCAAGGAAGTGTCTTTCAACAGGATCGGTATCACGTTAAAAGATCTCAGATAATCTCATCTACTCATTCTGCAAGGAGCTGTGTTCACGTGCAGATAGCTCGGTTTAACCGAAAAGCTGATTTACGCAGAAAAGATCCTGAGCAGTGTTTGTCTCACATGAGCCCATGGGGGCGAAATGGCCCCAGTGGTTAGAGCACGAATTTACTGACCGGAAGGTCTGTGGTTCGAATCCGACCTCCACCTCTCGACTTCCCCTGTCTAGGCTTGGGCAACCTGGCAGTAGCCCAGCCCTCGTGCTTCCTTCGAGTGGCATGGCAGCTAGGCACCGCAAGGGTGCTACAGCTGAACGCTTTCTTTCTTTCTTTCTTTCGCATGAGCCCATATGAGTAGGCAAACAGTACGACACAGAAACCATAAGTTTTTACAGACATCGTATTCCCCAAATGCCAACCGCACAAGGATATGGGTTTGATGTTGCGTTATACACAGATCTGCAAATTAAATTGGTGTTTACGGGAGACTCGAATGAATATCAGCTGAACAATGGCCTTCCACTTCAGTACCAAATGGAATATGAAACGGACTCTGTTCAGAACATTCGGTTGTAGGAACGAAAGATTCAGCTATATTTGACGGAATCCCCGTTAGTGTCAAGTTAATTAGCAAATTGGCGGATGAGTTCGGTTATGAAAACTTTGGTGTTTACGCAGAAAACAAGGTTGCTGGAAACTACAAGACCACGCTTATCCCCTAAGCCCAAAATAACACAAAGTCGGTATTGGGTTACCGAGGAACTCTCATAAAAATTTAAATGGTGATCAGTCAATGTTGCATTTTGTTCGTAGATAAGTTAAACGTGCAGCTTCCTAACGGCACCGATAAATGGCTAGGAAAGATCAAACGGTTTGACGTCAGGTCGATTGTGTCGTGGACCGTCTTTGAAGTATGGTGTTGCTGCGGAAAAAATAGGGAACACAACCAATGAAGTCGCACAAAGTCAGAAAGGGAAGCCTATTAACACTGTGATTAAAGAGAATATTGGCAACTCAGGCTGGTCAGTTGTCCGCTTACTGCTCCAACTTCCCAAGCTAATGAAAAGGCCGCCGCTCCGCAACCACACAGCGATGAAGCTTCCGCGTCCACTTTGTCGTTAACGCTGTCTCTTTCTCATTAGAAACCATCCTTAAAGAAGAAGCAAATCCCTCGAGGAAGCTATTTGTGCGACAAGGAGCTTTCTCGACTGTCCCACTGGGTGGAGGCAAACTCCCCAAGTAGAAAGTAGGGGAGTTGGCTAATTAATAGTCGCCCACCCACCAGGAGAAACACTTCCACCATGGCTATCATTCGCCGAAATGGGTTTTACACGTCAGAATAAAAATAGACACCCAATTGTGGGCTAAATAAAGGAACCAAAAAACGGGAACTCAAGAGTAAGTGTGGGTGGTCGACAGAAATCCATTGCCTAGCTAGTCAATAGTCGAACTAGTATCTACTATTGGGGGTATCACAGTAAAGAAAGCCAACTCAAATACCTAACCAAACCTTTCAGGTTAACAGTAACAGATGAGAACAAAGACTTACAATAACAAGCGTTGGTGGTCGATTAGATCTGCTGCGGGCAAACGACAGGCCGAGAAAATAATCACTTTACGACCAAGTTTGTCATCACCAGCAACTTGAAGTATTCCTAAACGTGAGATGTCCGGGTAGTCCGAATCAATGACATCTTGAACACTGAGCTCCTGAAAATGGAGAGGAAAGGGTGCAATTATGAGTAGAAGAAATCTTATCTGCAATGACGCCCGACAGTTGTTCTACATCCAAGGCGTCAGAGTCAAGATAATTCTACTACATGGTGCAATGGAACTGCTTAAACGCACAACGCCTGAGATACCACATAATCAGCAGTATCTTCTCCGGGGGAAAATCCCAAAAGCGGTGGACATCACACGAAGAAACCTTAGTAACTAATTCTAGAGCCACATAAACAAAATAGGTTTCTTATCATTCTTGTTTTCGCGGTATGGAATGGATGCCCCTAGTTGGCTGAACGACAATATCATGCATTCGGGTGATAGGTGGGGAATTGCTAAACGAAGAAATGCGGTACTTTTGAAAAAAACGGCTACATTTCGGAAAAAGTCTAACGAAATTTATATCTGTTTCCAACTGCACACTGATGACCTTGGAAATAAGAGCCAATAATTCATTAAGGATACTGACCAAAATAAGTCTGAAGCTACCATACGGACCAGCGCTCTGAGAAGTTCCAGCATTTTTAAATTTTAACATCTTTTTCTAAGCCAGTCCATTTTTGGGGTAGCCAAATGCTGGTCTAAAAAGATTTCAGCCGCGGGGCACGGATGATGACCCCAAATGCAGTGCGTAGGCAAAAAAGTGTGAGAAGCGAACAGCACAAAGGCAAACTTAGGATGCATCAGGCTGGGAAAAGTATAAGAAAAAAGTTCGTTTATCAAAAAGTAATTACTGTATTTCGTGAAGCCAAAAGGACAGAGTGACTATTCGGAAATACTGAGAGATCATGCGAATACGTCAGAAGGCGTTTGTGGTCCTGGCTAGTTAGGTAAGCCGCAATAGTAGAGCCAAGTAGTCCTCTTGGTTACATGAATTTGCAATCTCAAAACCCAAATGGAGTAAAGGACTCGGAGCAAAGAGAAACGCAAAAGCAAATAGAACTGTTGCGACCTAACAGCAGACCGCTACGTGGTGCAAGGCAACTTATGGGGTTAAAACTATTGCTCAGCGTACAAAAAAGAGTAGCATCATGTGATCAAATCAAAAGTGAAAGACACAGTAGCCATGCTAACTAGGCCGTAATTTACTGAGTACGCTCCATCCCAAGTGAAAATTAAGGCATTAGTCCCCTAAAATGAACGTTAGAAGTTTAATACACCAGTGTCGCTTGGAAAACCGTGAAACGTGCGAAGTAGACACCGCTCCTGCTGATTAGTGTTGTAAGGGCGTCTGATGATCATACTCAAATGAAAAATCAAATCGTTCGGCTGTAGCATCCCATCGGTTTCTAGCTGCCATGCTACTCGACGGAAACACGAGGGCTAAGATGCCGCTCAAACCTGGACAGGAACAGTCGAGATGCACAGGTTGGGTCCGAGAAACGGAATGGACGTTCCAGTCAGTGACTGAGCTATTTTGATCTCCAGGATCTTATTAATTCAGTATGTTAAAGAATCCTTGTTCAGCTGTGGCCAGGCAACCTGAAGGAAGCACAAGTGATGGGACACTGTCCAGATGCATAAGCCAAGGACCCAAGGGCTCGTGTGCACCAGCAACTCTCGATCAGTAGGTCGCGACTTGACATGTGATGTGTTTCGAGTTCAAACTTCGAGCGCAGGAGAAACGAAACTGCTATCAACCTTAGGCCCAACGGTCTGAGTTGCTAATCCAAGCTGAAATCCGAAACGTAAGCTAGGGACCGACGACATTGGTGGGCTGTCACCGTTCCCGGAATCACCTGACAAATCACGCTACGCCATCGGAACGCAAGAAACAAGGGTTTGGTAAGAACAAAACCATTAGGGAGTTAGATAAGGTTAGCTGGTGAATGCTGATCTAAACCACTAAGAGAGTAATGCAAAAGCTTAACTAATTGGATTTCGACATAGGACCTGAAAGTGAAAATAACAACATGGAATAAAAGTTTTAGCAATAATGTTAGCCATATGCAGTAATTTCAGATTGGATGATTTCAATCAGTCTAATGTGGCCGAAATATGGTAGCGTGAATTCGAAGAGAATAAAACCAAGAACTACCTAAATCGTTTTGCAGACTCCACGACCCCATTGCACCGAATATCTTCCTGCCAAAATACCATTCTTGTTCCTTACGACAGCACGCTCCACCCCGGCGCTGACCACCCAAAAATTTCACTTACTCCAGCAAGTTTCGGAGGTTGCACCACACTTTCCATGCTGAGAAATTGGTCAATCGAAGTCCGCAACCTGAGTAACATGCATTCAAGGCGCTGGTCCCGAGACAAATGGTCAATATGACACCGATATCCATTGGACGCGTCTCGCGGACCATGATGGACTTTTTGCTGAACACCGGGCGATTAGGACACAAAGAGCCCTCGGTTTTGTTAGGATAGTTAGACCCTAACGAACAATTCTACCTTTTGTAATATTTTACTGAGATTTTATTTTCTCTCTGTTGTAGCCAACTGGGTCGCAGCACTCGTTCTTCCATTGGTCCATCCAGGCGATCCCGATCCGTTCTCCTTTATGACGGTTAGGTCATGACAGCTGGGTCAAAGGATATTACTCTGACTGTTCACGCAAGAGAAAGTATACGCAGACACATCGGTCACACGATCCTGGTTGGCAACTCACACTAATCGTCACGTGAGAGCCAACCACACGAGTGCAAACTAGCCGGTTACGTGGCTGGACAATCATGTATGACCACAAGTGAGTAGACAGGTCACCTGCTCTCCCGATTTCCGGTTATCGCTGATAACCACGGGTTCGGAATGTGACTGTTCCCATAAACCAGTACATTGAGAGGAAGTCACCGATAAGTTTGCTAATGAACACTTAAACGCAGAAGACAAATTTAACTAACGAGCTGTTTCATTGCAGTCGCATGGGGGGTAGTGTGGTCAACAGAATGAACTTTCAATCAATAAACCGATTTATCAAGCTCCCTATGCCGACCTAATTAATCTCAGCCAGTGACGCGCACTGTTCGGAAATAGAACAGTAGTGTTCGCCTGGGAAGCAATCTAGAATCCAACCTCTGCTCCCCCTGTGGGACTCTAAGAAGTTGATAGTGCTCCTTATTTCAGCATGTCCATACAGATACAATACGTTATCTAATCAGTGGATATGCAGAAACACACAGTCAGTTTGGCCAATACAGTAATCCTCGAAGAGGGGCCATCACAGTAAAAAGAGCTTTTAGACTCGATAAATATACTCATTTGCAAATCAATTTGGTTTTCAAGAGAGACTCAACTGAACCTCCCGTTTATGAGCCCCAAGAAGGGCGAAACCGGTCGTGGGCTGCAACCTTGTGAGTAGTTTCCTTTATGAAAGCTTTTAGACTCCTTTTGAGTGATATTGTATCCGGTAAAGTGCCAGGTATCCAAAACCAATGTATCAGGTTATAAAAATTACACGGGCTTGTGTGGGAACTTCCAAAACTGTTTTTCAAAGAAAATATTCAGCAATCTTCGCCGAGTCCTCTTTCTGAGACTATGGTACAGACCATACTGAACATCTCAAATTCCAAATGTTTTGATTGTTGTTTTTTTTATTGCAGCCGAATTTGCATTGTTTTATTAAAGTAGCCACAGCAGACAGAGTTCAGTTTACTTTTTAACTAATTGACTGATGAGTGGGATCTATAAGGTGGTCACGCATGAGGAACGAGCAGATTTACGTAGGTTGGACATCATGTACAATAACCACACGTGGGCGAGGAGTGGTGTGATTACATTTTGCGACGTTAAAACCATAAAATTTGGAGTAATTGCTCTTTAGGCAACTGCTGGGCTCAGAATTACACTGTAGCCCTCCGTCGGTGCTCAAAATAGGGAGAAAACACGAACAGAGCCACTACAATTTAAGATTTTACTAGTTACTGTACTTGTCCCCATTTGTGCTCGCCTGTTATTTAAATGTTCAATAAGCCAGGCGGCTTCACGAACCGACAAGTTTTTATAGAAATATGATAGCCGAGGTGGACTTGAGTTTCTAGTCACTGCACCAGGAAATGCGCTCTTTTGGGAAAAACAATGCAGCATTATGTGAGTCAGCTAGTATGGGTAAGGTTCACGGAACGCAGTATTAGGATCCACTTCAGTTAGACAAGACTCAGCGTTAGTCAGGAGGAGTTTGCGAATACGAAACCGCTGATGCGTACTATGGGTCAGGTATTCCACTAGGTGGTGACTTAGTCAACGTACGTGATGGCCAACAGTGCGATCGCAAATTTAAAAAAAAACTAACAGAACTCCTGACAATAAGGTTTCCAAACCTTAAAACCTCCATCTTGATATAAGCAACGCTTGTTGCTCTTAAGTTTCTGGAACAATTTCTTTGGCATGAAGTAAAAGAAGGCACTTTCACACCTGAATACCCTCTTTGTTTTAGTGCTGACTGTTATTTTCGGGACTATGGTGGGAGTTATTCAACCATTTATTCGTTAAAAATATTTTCCACATTTGTTTGTCACAATGTGTATAAATATGGTACTGTTAACATTAGGCTTCCAAATGGTTGCTAGAAGTGTCACATCAGACGTGCATCTGAACTGCAGGTAATGTCGTCTCACGAACAGTATACAGCGTAACGGCATGACGACTGTTCGCTTATTAGCATATTCGTCCATTCACAATCACTTTAGGTGGTTGCGGTGAGTTGCTAATGGGTGAGATGTACTTATCTCTCACGAATTAGTAGTCCTTTAGTGGGGAAACCTACAAAACTAAGTAAAACTGCATTCATATGGACTACTTACATAGTTGGTGAAAACTTATCGACAGCCCACACAACCTGTTTCGTCCTTTTTGGACTGATCTCAGACAGGCGTTCACTTGAATTTCCAGTTCAATATGAATTCACCTTTACCCGAAGAAAAATGGCTCGGTGGGACTGATGACCCCAAAACACTAGTACTGTGATAAACAGCTTAGCCACACTATATGTGGCGGACCATTTTGAAACCGAAACCTAACGAGGAAAAAGAGGAAGTTCGCCAAAGAGCAAGAGTGCATTTGGACAACGACAAGTGGTGAAGGTTGTAGTTAACTAGGCAAACAGATGCGAATGTTCCTTCGTTGAAGATACCCTGTTGCTGTGCCGTCCGGAAATCAGTATATGTCGGATCCTGTTCAATAAGCGCCGATTCTGGAAACTCAATGATTGGTTTTGAGCCGACTACTTGTAGTGGCCTGACCTCAATCTGGATATCGTCAATGATCCAGTCACACCCTACAGTTAACGATGTAATAAAATCTCGAAAGTTCGCGAGGTCCCCTCCAACAGGAATACAAACTAATTAGATGACATGGAGTGAAACACTCACCTTTGCAGCCATACCCAGTTCCTGTTCATAATCCTCGTCTATAATACCATCGGGAGTCATGCGATCCGAGTTGAACGCGCTTCCCTCCGGAGATCCCTCTGAAATAGAAAGGAAGGAACAACAATGGGTGAAATATCCAACTAAATCATGTATAGTCAGACTCCAATCAACCGATAAAAAGTTTGCCTGACCTTACAATGAAGAAAGGAGTGGATCGACGAGTTCTCAGGTTTTGACCGACTTTACGATAAGCACCACGGCTGATAGTGAAATGAAAAGGATCATCCCAGCAAAAAACACTCCTGTACTTAACAAAGTGTGTATCGATAACAACACCACTGGTAGCCTGGAAGAGTGCCACTCAAAATAGTTGTTGCGAAGAGGATTTTGAAGAGGCGAACCACTTCAGATGACGCAAGCGGTTAATAGTTCATATTGGCCAGTCCTTTTTATCCCCGTAAACCTCCGGACGCTCTGAGATCATATTATGTCTAGTTTCATGCTTTATTTCTATATTGGGAACCTCTAAAACAACCTTTCATAATGGGTTGCAGACAGGTGGATAAAATAGACATTATTCGCTTTTATTTCAAATCCCAGTGTTTTCCTGTACCCAAGACAGCTTCCGAAATGCAGTTGAATGACCGGTCTTCTGGTCAGGGAAATCCCTGACCCACTCATCTTTATGAAGAACTCACGTGTCGAGTTGACTCACAATATCTCCCAGTTTAGCCATGTTCATTCAGGCTCTACCCGAGGTAAGACAACTACCCTTTTATTCTTTGCACTAAATGGTTTCTCCTGTCTCCAATGTGCACATCAAAAAGTCAACCGAATTCGTCTCAATTAGCGCGTAAAAAATTATTTCCCCCAGCCTTTGGTGAGTAAATCCCTTACTGGCCGATTTAACTTCAACCCTAGACCGTAAAGGATATATTTTTAAAAAAGTGGCTCTCAGACGGCCTTTGATAGAAAATCAAAGCTTTCAGATTTGGCAGGATTCCGGTACATCTTTAACAAACAACCAGTCGGGGACAAGACGAATGAACGCTGCGGAATCCTGAAGAGTGGGTCGAGATGATTCAAGAATTCCGGTCAGTCAAAAACAAGCACCCTTTCTGAAGAAGCCACTTTTAGTCGGCTCCTTGAGGTATCCACTTCAAAGTGTGGTGACTGAACTACAGGTTGCAAAAGTCAGGTCGGGGATTAGCGCTCGCATGGAAGAACCACATCGTTTGCTGGGGTAAGTGGGAAGTACTCTTCCTGATGTAATGGGAGGTCCGGGACAGCGATGAGATTTAGGACCTTGGGTATTAATTGTGATGTGAAGTGGGCACAAAGTACAGATTGTTCGCATTAACTGTAACAGCTTAAGCACTCTAAATGAGATTGTGAAGTAATTATCCTGGGCAGTTAGCTGTTGTATTATTCCACGAATCACTACGCTACGCTTCAATCGAAGCGCACCAAGGGTGGAAAGCGACCACTAGACAGTGTAGTGAATTTCTGGAGCAGAACAAACCGACTGCAGAAATCAATACACATATTGATCTGCTCCCGTAAGACGAGTTCGCTACTTTGGAAAGAAATGCTTCACGAAGTACAATAAAGTTCGCCTGAGCATGAGCGACTCACCGACACAGTTGAACGGACTAACCAATGTATTCAAAATTTAATAACATGCCCAACGTAATAGAATGTTGACGCGAAAAATGTGACTTTAAGTGAAAGTATTTTGCTCCCTACATACCACCATAAAGTGAACAGTCCAGCAGCAGCAGCAGCTTTAACTGATTCAGACAAGGACTTGATATGGTATGGATAACAGGTATCCATGGGTTTAGAAAACTGAACGATGCATTCTCATTTAGTAAGATATTGCAAGTATCTGGTCGTTGTTCTGTGGAAAGTGACCACATGGTCACCTTTGGCTCGTGACTATGAGTCACGGGAACATAGTCACCGGTCTGGTATGAGTAACGAATGTTAAATAGTTTGAATACACGGAGGATGGTTATTAGCAAAGCGTTTTTCTGGTCCCCTAGAGTGAACACTCGTTGCATGGGTTGTTCACTTTCACGATATATTCCGTTAAGTTTTTCTGAAGAAATAGGGAAGTATTGTTTGAGATGACTGACTTAAAAATGAGGAATTCTGTTTACACTGTTCGGATCAAACATCCAGTGCTTAAAATCCATTGGCATCTGACAAGCAGAGAGGAGGGAACGAGAGGAAGACAAACGATAATCGCCCTGAGTTAGAAATCAAAAAGTGTGCAAAAACCTAGCCCTAAAACAGATGCTGTCATCAACTAACCTTTATTGCCCGCAAGTTCTAGACTACATTCATCAAACTCCATTTCGGGCGTTTCAAAATCTGTCAAATAAGAGCTCGGTGGAAAGGAGCCAAAAGTAAGGGAGTCGAATCGACGTCGATATTCGTTAGTGGATGCATCATCTGGTGCCCCAGAATCAGAATCATGAGAAACATAACGCCAAAGCGGTTTCGAGCCACTCCTTCCAGTCATGTCATCAAATATAGGATCCTTCAGGCTGGACGACTCCACTCCATCGACAAAATCTGAGTCTTTCTCTTCCATTCGCTTCAGTGCTGACAATTCCGGTTCGACAACAGTACTTGAAACAGCTGGATCAGACTCCATGGAGCACTGAAAAGTACCGTCCAGATGCGCAGCTGAAAAAATTAAAGTATATGAACCAGGTTCCTGCAGCTCCACAACGAAAACTCAAGCGAGTAGGAATATAGTTATATACTTACAAAATACATATTTAATACAAAATACATATTTACAAAAAAATATATTTACAAAAATATTAATACTCAGTATCAGAGCAGAGAATACAGCTTGGATTTCACCAGAAGTAACCGATCAACTGCTTGATACAAATCAATCGCTTCGGCATACGTAGTGCCTTCATAGGGTAGACCTGCGGAAATCTGATTCAAGTAGTTTATATGAGCGTTCATTTCCGCTTCCACTTCTTTCAGAACGACACGGAAATTGTGGGTATGGTTCTCAACTTGCTTGACTGTGGGACGATCCTTAGAGAGTTCGTCCAGTGCATTCCCAGCATGCTGCATAATTAACATAATCTTGCGCTCAACCTCGTCTAATCGACTCAGACGAGCTTCTAGTGATACAGTTTGCTGATCCTTCGAGGAAGCACTTGACATTGAGGAAACTTGTGGAGAGTACAAGTACGTAACCAAAACGGGGAGCCAGCTGCAGTGAAAAAAGGAATCAGTAAGTTTTTATTGGGAGGCTAATTATAAACTAAAGCTATACACTCTCCACTGGCAGGTAGTAACGAATGGGGTAGGGATGGGGATGTGCGCACTGCTTTCAGTGGCCTCATCCACCGACGGAAAAAGTGCTCGCGATTTTGAAGTCCAAATAAGACAAACAAGACTGGTTGATCGTGAATTATGGAATTATTGCAGAGGGCAATCACTGTTACCATGGTCAACACTAAAACAGTAGTAGATACTGCTGCTTAAATAAAATGCATTCAAATAGGAAGCCTTTAAAAAATGGGACTATGGGAGTTGTTGTAAAGATATCTTCAGGCCCTGAGGAAAGCGGAGCTGATCTTCAAACAGCATTGGAATAAAGACCTAAGTACTGTGCCGCAACATCACATCATTAGGACGACTTCCAAGTATCCCGAGGAATCTCCCCATATGCTGTTTCAACAAACTACAACGGACAATTTTCGACTGGATAGTCTGACTGCATGACGACTGCATACACTTTGCGGAGAATAGTGAAGTGCCATGACCCACATAATTCCTAATAGCAGGCAAAGAAGATGCGACCGGGAAGATGCGAAAATTCCACAAGGTTTTTGGATAGTAGTCACAGTCGACTCGCGTTGCCATGCTCAGGTTATGTGAAACCTTTCAAAACGCGTATCTTCAAAGGACAGCAGGTAAATCAGGAATATTTGCAATTCAATCATGCATTTCTGAACCGAACATGGACAGTCCACATAAAAGTTAAGGGTCGATTCCTTCATCAGTGACCACCAGATTCGTGTAAAAGTCAACGGTGTGTCAACAGAACCGCTCCACGCCATAAGCGGAATCCCTCGGAACGCCAGGATTTTCAATAAACCTGTGAACGATCATCCACATACCAGACACTTCACCGTCATTATCACCTTCAGTTGCAAAAACCGGGTATTTACTGTACACTGGTTATGGATGCCGCATTCCCCTCCACCGGTGATTTGGGGAGATGGGGATCACCATCATCATCGACAGCATGACATCAGTGTTCAACACTGATGCTTCACTGCCGGGGATAAATAGCAAGGCACTGTAGGCGGTCGCAGATAGAAGTGATCCGTTAAAACAGGGACGTCAGTGGAATTTTCACTGGGGAGGTCGGTCGAAAAGCTATGTGTTGACGGCAATGGCTTGAATGCACTCGCGTCACTAAGCGCGCGACTGGGTCATGTTTGACAATATCTTTAACAACTGACCTGTACCATCTCGGGATCTCCATCCGGGGAGAAATTATTATTAGCACACCTGAGTTTGCTGGTAATTGTTTTCATAATTAGCTGCCAAGTCATTGCATGATCTTTGTTGACTCGTTTACACACTTCCATGGTTGTGCGAAAGGGGTTCTTCGAGGAATTCGGTCGACTGGCATGTGGGACACGCGACAAAGCCAACGCAACTTATGGGGCACGAGCAGCCCATCTGTTGAGGGCGATTTGTTTCTTCCCAAAAACCATTCGGCTTACTTCAACATTACTGATCCGGTGTTCGCACCAGACTCGAGAAACGCTCCGAAGACGTCGATAACCAAACAATGGAACATTTTCAACCTCCTCAGAGTATAGCCGCCATGTTTCTGACCCACATCACAATATGGAGTTCAGCACAGTATTGTAAACTTGAAACTTGACAGATAAGCCCATACATTTCTGCACCACAAGTGATGCAGGTTCACAAAAGCTGTTCGGGCCTTTCCAATCCGGATGGAAATATCATCTTTGGTTAGACCACGGGGACTGTCATAGCTACTCAGGTAAGCAAGTATGTCCACTACCCCGATCCGCTCTTTCCCCAGCATGAAGTCTTGCAGCAGCACTCTACCCTTTGCATTTTTGAAGCGCACACCAAATGGTGGGGCAGGGCTATTTAGATTATTTAATGTCGAATGAATTAAAATGGCGCTCGACCCACGAAGAGGTGTCTTTTACCTACTAGATACCTGAAAGCAAATTTCCGGAGAAAACTTCGGATCCATAGGCATAAGCGGCTGAGAGTGAGTCTTCCATAATGATGTCCATGACGAGGTTGAAGAGGAAGGGTAAAAGAGGGCGGCCTTCTTGACACCACTTGATATAGTGAAGTCAGGAGGGAGCTTAAAGTAAACCCTCAGGCATCTGCTGCAGCTGGCTTAATAGTCTGGTGAAATGGCTCAGTGGTTAGAGCAATTTTTATTTTTAATAAGCTGAAATACATGGCTTCATGTAGACTGGTCCAGCCCGAGGACAAGGAGAGTGAAACGTAGATGCCCAGCTCATGGTGGTGCTAAGCACAACAGGCGCATTTAGGGAGAGTCAATCTGATTGCAAGACTTGTCCTTCTTTCGATTGCATCAGATAAATCACCAACTGCCACGATCAACTGATGGGCGATCGGAAAGTGTGGCTTGTGGAGCCAGCCTTTCCTTGGGGAAAGGGAGCCACAAATATGGGCACGCTGTTCGCCTGAAGAAAACATCTTACTGCCTCCACACACACACACACACACTACAAAGGACAGTACGATTTTTATTCCAGACCGCCGCGTACTATGCGAGCCGTCGCTCTCCGTCTGACTGCTATCTCTTGGTCTTCCTAGCATGACTGCACCTGTGGAACAGAGTTCCAACCAGGGTAGCCCGTGGAATCATTGCATCACTTGGGCCTGACCACCACTACAATGTGACAGCTTTCGGTTCAGGGGATGCACTGCCGATGTTTTAAATATTACTGGGAAGTTCCGAAAACGATGTCTAATTCCATTTTCTAGAGGTCCTGAACCGGTTATACAAGCTACACGTAGTCACTTGTAAACGTGTTTACAAAAATGGTAATAAGGGAATGAACAAAACCCAAAGCAGAATTTGAAGTTGCCGGCATTTACCGAACCTTGCTAAAGTGAGCGCCCAGCATGACAGCGTGATATGCCCATCGTGTAACTCCTAATTTTACCAAATATCTGCCCAATTGAACATCTCATTTGTCCAACAAATGGATCCCGGCTGATGGTCATAAATTTCGCACGGTTTAGATGACTTTCATCCGGATCACTGTCGTTCAACTTGGAAAACCTAATTCAGCTCATCTCAATGCTCTCAGGACGATGCGAGTGTTGAAACCTGACGCGTTCCCTGATTACTGCACCGAGGACTAGTCAACCACACCCTCGTCAAAAGTGAAATGCGGTACAGGCGATGTAATTGTTGAGATAATTCGTAAATGTTACAGGACTGGAAGGAAGCGACGGAAGGAGAAAATGGTAGCAGATCACGCAATACTTTAACACTTTTGTAGAACAGGTTATGAGTTGGTTGGTAAAAAAATCGTCCAGCTGTAGCACCCTTTCGATGCCTAGTTGCCACGCCACCCGAAGGAAGCACAAGGGCTGGAATACTGCAAGGTTGCCCAAGCCTAGATAGGCGAGGTCGAGGGGCGGAGGTCGGGTTCGAACCATGGACCTTCTGCTCCGTAAGTTCGCGCCCTAACCACTTAGCTATCTCACCTCCAGTTTGCCAGTGCAAACGATCAATTATATCACAGGAAAAGCAAAGACTGAAAGGTAGCAAGCAAAAGGATGCCAATTTCTCTCACACAAAAAAGTAGAGAGACAGGACCTGTCTCTTTCATGGGATCAAGATCGATGATCAATTGGAATATGTTTGGGGCCGATTGGGGAGTCATCGTTTCAGAGAGGTTTGGTAAACAATCAGTGGACTTATTGCTGGACAATCTGCTTACTCACTCAATTGGCACGACGAAGCTCTTGTGTCAAAAGCGAAACGTTGCCCAGCAATTAATCCACCGATTGTTTACCAAACTTCTCTGAAACTAAATCGACAATCATTTCCCGTGTCTCTGTAAATCGGTTTCACATGAACTAGTCTCAAGCTCTCTGGAACAATTCACCCCTCACGTGAGTAGTGAAACGGACTAGTCAAAAGCAAGGCAATCGCGTCTGCCGAGGATTTCCAAACCAGCAGATGAAACTTATCAAGTGCATGTGAAATCTCCATCACGCTCCTTTTATCGAGCACGAAATCCCATAGTACGCGGTTTAGATGGGCGGGCTTCCTAACGAACATCCCTTCATCTCTTATCAGTTCACGACCAATGTTAGCGTTGAAAGCTAGTTTCAAGGCAGCGCTAAGTTACGATTGTTTAGATCTTCATCACAAATATTCAGGTAGGTTATTAGGGATCCTATGTCAGATACCAGAAAGTTCTTGATCATAGGTAGCGAATGCGGGTCGTTTTAGCCAGTTGCATTTATTACCCTGCAAGTAGCAAGCTTCTTTCATTCCTAGAGAACCTGAGCGATCCCACATTTTTTCAGACTTCGGATTGAGCTCGTAGGGCTTTGGTACTCTACAGGTTTCCTGGGCTGGTGTACGGACAAAGGTGAAACAAAGATTCCGCACATGGGTTTGAAAGTAGTGCTCTATTTGTCCATTCAAATTTTCCATGGAGCTAATGCAGATAGTCGCCTATAAGGTAGGTTACATGAGAGGTACATGTACAAGATCACCAAATGGTTGACCAAAGTAAAAATATGTCTTCCAACGTGATTGCCTTCGGGAGCGTTAAATACAATTAAACTGAGTGGCGAGCTCGGACGTTGTTTCTGGTCGTACTTAATGTGTATCGCCAATCTGGAATGTTCTTGGACCCGTTTTTTTTCTTCACATAAAAGTTGCAGGAAAGTAAGTCGGTAAACATTCTCAATGGAGCCTGAGAGGCAAATTCGCAACAGAGGCCGCCCAAACAATTGAGGGAGCATTTACTTTGCCGGCTAATAAAAAGTGAAGAGGCTAAACACACATGTTGAAGAGAAGAGGTTCTAGGAGACTGAGAACATTTGTGGCCAACTGCGGCGAACAGATCAACAGCCATCTGATACACAAAAGGCAAACACCC